GCGGATAATATTATAGCGGAAGCCTATAAGTTATCGCGGGTATAGCGGTAACTAAGTTACTAGCAGGATCTAAGGATCTAGTAGGTAGCTGTAATCGCGTAAAGCTATTACTAGAGTATAGAGGTTAAGAGTCGGGGGCAACTACGTCTATATTAGTAAGTAAAGCCCCCTTCGATTTAGGGCGTTAAAGTAATAAGAGGAGCCCTTTCCCTTCCCTTAGCTAAGGTAAAGGACTAAAGGGATAAAAGACATAGCTAATAAAGCGGACATGCAGAACCTAGAGGCATTAGAACTCAGCTAAACATATAGAATAGGGGTCGAGGAGGTCGTGTGAGCGGAGCAGAGTTAGGCAAAGGAGGGGGCTATGTATTAGAGATAGCCGGCCTATAGGGATAATAGTGAGAGAAAGAGAGAGGAAGAAAAGGAGAATCGAGAGGAAGGGGTAAGGGAGTGTAGGTGTTCTTATAGCAATCCGGGATGCCGCGACGGGCCAAAGGGGGAAGGGGCTTGCCTAAGGCGGAAGGCGGTGGGGGGCAGCGGGGAATTTGCAACGACCGACTTTACCAGAGATGGGCATTTATTGCCAGCCATCTGCTTGTGGAGATCGATTGGAGGCAGGACTGCCGTTATGGAAGCTGCCGGCTCCTGATACTATTGTTACTGTGGACCAGTGGAGCCCTGTCTGCTAGGCCACAGTGGCAGCCAAAGGGTTCGACGCCATATGAGGTGGGCTTCGCAGGACCGAACCTGCTTGATTCGTACAGAGATGCGGTTCATGGGTAAACTTATTGCGAACGGACATTCAAGAGCAAGCGCTCGCTGCTGAAGACTCGCCCAATACTAATCCATCACAAGGCTGAAGCAGGTGATTCTGATTAGACCTTTCCAACTATATCAACGTCGATGAAAACAGGGCAAGAAAAGGACCAAATACAAGTAGAAGTCACTCATGTTGACCCTCCTGTATTTACTAAGGCCACTCTTGCTTTACCAGAACAGGGCAGGCCTGAACAGACTTCATGACTATGCGAACGACGTCAGCCCAAGTTAAGAAACATACTTTCAGCTCTGATCGCCCTTTGTTGCTGTCGCTCGACAATAAGGCCATGTGAACTAACTCCTGTCCGAGCGACAAAACCCTTGATTCAGAGACTTATTGTGAAAACAATTACAGTATTCTACGGTCAATAGGGACTAGAAGAATTGTTCGAGCTGTCGCAAACTTTTACAGTGGTTCGGCCAAGGCGCTTCAGTGAAAATTAGCAAAGCAAGACCGTCATCTACGCCCTAACCTCGAGCTCAGTCGGGTAGGTGAGTTTGGAATCGGGAAGCGCGAATCCGGAGAACAGCAGTCTGAGTGGGCTGACGAGTGGCTAAAGAGTGGGTGCTCTTGCAGCAACGCCATGGCCATGGGTCGTAAAGGTGGCAGCATCGAGAGACCGGAGCTGCAGAGGCAAATAGTGACTAAACGGCGGGCAACGGCTCGGCACTGCGCAAAATGCGGTCGCAAAGTTCCACCAATAAGGCAGCGAGGAGTCGCCCAGGCACTTGGGAGTGGCTGGCCTAACCGCACGACCCTTGGCAGCGTCGCTCACCCGGCAGCCGAAACACTTTTCTCGGAGCCCATATTCCCACGCCCAACGACGTCGACCCGATATCTTTACTCGACCAGCATCCTACCACAACGTGTTTGCCTCTCCATGGGCCTGCAGTATCCGAGGTCCGCGGAGCGGAAAATAAAACGAATAGCTGCCCGGCCCGACTAAATCACGACCACCACGTATGGGTGTAATTGCCTGGGCGACTTGAAGTCGGATCCAACGGGGCTCTGTTACTCGAATAGCAAATAACCTTCTCAAAATATGAATGCAATCGCGAAGAGGAAAGTACCGGGAACACAAGCAGCGCCGAAACGCACATCCTCTCCTCCAATATCTCTTGCCCTGCCCTAGTCAAGTCGCAAGGTATCTCTTGCCGCCTTCTCCATAATAGTAGTACTTCTGAGGCTTTTCTGATCAGAAGCATGGAGTGTTATCCTTACAGTATCCGGCTGGCGTCTCTAGCTTTTTCCTTCCTAGATTATGAACCCTTGCTAGACTCTCCGGTCTGTCCTTTGCTTGCAAGATCAATGTTCGCGGCTTCCTTCAGGTGCTTCTTGATCGTACTCCCCTGGAAACGATCTTTTGCCGTCGTTTGTCTTTCGCCATCTTCGGTAGCCCCCCAGGAAAACTCGCTATGACCACCTGGCAACCGGCTTATGCTATCATGCCCTAACATTTCGTTAAAATCGCCAACCCCCTACGAAATCCGAGGTTTTAAGATGCCAGGGACAGCCACTGGGCCATCTGCCTCGTGGTCCAATACTATCAAAAAGAGTTCCATCTGCCGTCTTGGCAGTGAGCCAAAGGTGATCACAGTGGAACCGATTTAACTTCTGCAATTCCGCTCGCCAGGGTGGTTGTTGCGGCGCTGTCGGTATATCTCTGCTTCAGATGACTATCTGCAGATGGGACAGTCCACTCTATGGGGAAGTGATACTCATTGAAGAGCCCCTTAGTGAGCTTTTCCCCTGCAGATATCAGGTTCCTCTTAGCTTAGTTCTTTGGGTCATCTCGGGAGACGACATACGCGTTCAGGACTATTCTGTGGCGAGGTCCGAAGAAAGACGCCGAATCAGCCATTGATAGGCAGGAATTCGCCCGTTCTCGTTCTTCGCTAAGCATTCTCAAAACTTATTTCCTCCTGCGACTTCGTCGTTGATCTCCTCTGGCTGCACAAGCAAAATCTCGCCGCCAGGGTCCTCCCCGAACTTGTGGAGTGGTGCCGCTGGGCACCGAGACTTCGCCTTCCACTGGACTGCATTGATCTCTGTGGAGGAGCCGCGGAAGCCTGCAAAACTTCCATCACGGCCCAATCCACCGTCGAGATGCGCTACGCACGACGCGCCACCAAGCTTGTGATTGAGCAGTGGGCCTTTAAAAGAAAATGATGAAGGTAAAATCTCCAAGCTTTTTCTTGTGATGCTGGCTGTCCACTCCTTTTGAGATAGAGTGGACCTAGGGAAACACGTTTCTCAGTCCATCGCTTATACTGTCGGCTAGGCCAATAATCGACCAATACGCGATATCAGTTCCTTGAGCCTGGCGCAAGAAAATCTCATCGCGCCATTCTCGTGCTCTTGCGGCGTGACTTTAGATCCGATTCCAAAATCGTCAGGACGTACAATCTACATGCGTGCAGTCTAATGTCTCTGTCCTCTTCCGAATGGACGGGTGAGCCAATAGCTCCGTCATCAGACACCGTTCCTCAGGCTTTGTCACAATCATATGTTTAACCAGGTCAAGAAAAACTTCTCTCTCCTCATCTTGGGGGAACCTAGATCGGTTGCGGTTCGCCTCGCGCACCTCCCAGGCCCTAACCCGGTTAAAGGAACGCGATGCTGGAAAGAATTAGTATAACAGTCGTTGATCATGGTAAAATAAGGGATATCAGATGAAACGAACAATGCACTTTATAGCGATCACATGTGTTCCAGAGTTCGAGCCAAGCATTTGGCGGAGGTGCACCGAACTGAACAGCCCGGAAGAGATAGTCTTCAAGAGATCCCCATGTTGAAATAAGTTCGTTCCCCGATTTGATATGATATAACTGCATATAGTTATTACCGACTGTACCTTAAAAAGCACACGCGGTATTACCTACCGTAGATCCGAGCGCCCAGATATCTGCCGCTTTACTCCAAATAGAGTCCAGTTTGCCTTTACATAGTTCGTGAATTACGACTGCTGGGGGGCGAATCGCGTTTGGCACCTCGCCTGCCAACAGTGGGATATTCTCACTCGTCCTGTAGGCTAACCAAGTGTATCATGGTATCAGTGGATATATAGAAAGGAGGCCAGATATAAAACCTACATCTCTTAAAGTCTAGAATCCTAACAGACATCGCCGAGCTTGCAGGGAAGGATTTCGTATTTTTGTAAAAAATCGGCGATCGATATTACAGGTTGGACCACATATGGTGGCACCGAGCGCAATGGGAATGATGAATCGCGTGCAACGACGGGAATGGTTTCAGGGTTCGCAAAGTGTTCGCTGATATCGTCTTCGTTGAACCGCTCCAACTGCGGGATGGCAATTCCAAAGTTGGCGATGTGTGGATCTATATCTCGTCGGCTGGTTCTGTCTGTCTGGTTGACGTTCGCTACTAATTGTACCTCCGTGTGCTATCCCTTGTTCGTGAAGAAAGGCAAACCCCTCTATTATCTGGCGAACAGCCTCCGAAGAACATTGTCGCATGACATCTGGATCGCTCAAGGGGGCGATTACTTCAGTCACCAAGCATTCGTGGAATCCGTTCGGTCCTTTGACAACATATACGTCAAAGAGTTGGATAACTCTCTGGTAGCCATGTCTTCCTGGACCGTTTTTGCGAAGCTGGGACAGAATCTCTGTCTCTCTGCTCGGACGAGGGAAGTCTGACCCCTGGCAGACTTTGACGGCAACATATCGTCTGGGGAGAAATCAATTCGTCAAAGTCATTCAGTGGCAAGGCCACGCTTACCTGTCAACAAGGTCGCGAGCGAGCCAGACGGTAGCAAATGCCCCAACGCCGAGTTTCAGCAGGATACGGTACCTCCGCTTTTTGGCCAGATCACTGACGCAAGTGGACGGCTTAGGAAGGACGTCACCGAGAACGATGGGATGGAGTCCATATTGCTTATACTTGGTCAGATCTTCAAACCGGACTTCGTCTCCAGTGTAAAAGAACAGGTCGAGCTGGTCGGCTGACTTTGGGAGCTGTCTATGACGACTCGTCCAGGCACCAGTTCGACTTTTGGTGGCGAGAGAGGACGATGCAGGGATAAAATTGCTGCGGGCGGGTACGTCCCCAGGTACATATTACATATGTGGCCACCCATTGGCCGGAATGGGGAGCGTTTTATTATTATCTCGAAGCCCATTTCGTCGAATCCGAATTGTCGACGGCGTCCCTCCACAACATGTTTGCCTCTCCATGGGTCTGCCGGAGCTGCGCCCGCGCACTGCGTCGCTCTCACCCATGGCAAGTCGGCCGGTTCATGTCCAGCGGTATGAGAAGCTTCCCGCCCCTCGCACCCTTCTGCTCACGAAACAGCCTCTCCAGCCTCCCCCTCGTCCGCCCTTGCGCCCAGCCTGCTCCTCCGCGCCAGGTCCCTCGCCGCCGAGCACGCCGAGCTCCAAAAGACGCTCGATGTCTCCTTCGACAAGGCCAAGGCCAAGCGCGTGGGCGAGCTGCACCGCATCGCCTCGGCCCTGCGGGAATGGGACAAGGTGCGCAGCTCCGTCGACGAGCTCACGGCCATGGCCCAGGACCCGTCGCAGGACGTCGACCTCGCCTCCATTGCCCGCGACGAGCTGCAGTCCGAGAACGAGGAGCTCGAGGCCCTCGAGAAGAAGCTGTCGGCTAGCCTGACGCCGCGGCATCCCTTTGCTGACCTGCCCTGCATGGTCGAGTTTCGCCCGGGCCCCGGCGGCCTCGAGGGCCGTTACTTTGCAGACACGCTCTTCAACATGTACAAGAACCTGTGCGCGCGCGTGGGCATCCGGGCTCAAGTGCTCAAGTACGAGCTGTCTGACTCGGCGGGCGACCAGTCGTCGACGGCAGGCGAGAGCCCATTGCAAGAGGCCGTGCTCGAGATCCAAGACACCGGCGCCTACGACATGTTCCGGGGCGAGGCTGGCATGCACCGCGTGCAGCGCATCCCCAGCACCGAGAGCAAGGGCCGTGTGCACACGAGCGCCGTGGCCGTCTGGGTGCTCCCCTCGTTCCCTGAGAGCAGCGTGGGCGACATGGACGTCGACGACCCGGAGAGCGACTTCTACATCAACCCACAGGACGTCAGGATCGAGACGATGCGCGCGCGCGGCGCCGGCGGGCAACATGTCAACAAGACCGAGTCGGCCATCCGCATGACGCACACGCCCACGGGCACCGTCGTGTCCATGCAGGACCACCGCTCGCAGCAGCGCAACCGCGAGGCCGCGTGGAAGGTGCTGCGTTCGCGCATCGCCAGCCAGCGCGTCGAGCAGCGCGAGGCAGAGGCCGCCAGTCTGCGCTCCAGCGTCCTCTCCCAGGCCCAGATCACCCGCGGCGACAAGATCCGCACTTACAACTTCAACCAGGACCGCTGCACCGACCACCGCGCCGGCTTCGACGCGCATAACCTGCCCAGCGTGCTCGATGGCGGCGAGACGCTCGAACGCGTTATGCGGGCGGCCAAGGACTGGCTCGTGGCCCAAGACATCCAGGCGCTCGTCGCCGAGGAGGAAGCCAAGGCCGGCTCCCAATTAAAAGACTCGGCCAGGAGGTGAGGCAACACCTGCGGAGCCCCGTCGTCGCTTGTGGCCTTTCAACACTGGAGTGGTCGTGACTTGTACATGGTTGCGTCTATGTAATGCTCTGGGTATAGCTTGAACATAACCCACACGTACAAATACCACCGCTGACTGTGCTTCCACTGCTCGTTCAAGCTTCAAGCACATGTGATGAACCCATCCCTGCAGGCCAGGTACTGTGTCCCAGCCGATGTAATCAGTCAGCAAGGCATGGAAAAAGTAGCCTTTGATATATGCCACCAGATTGCCTCGCCCTTCTTCTGCCCCTGTCGCCTTACCAAGCGACATGACTGATGAACATGCCGTCTGTCCTCCCCGGCATCATGCTGTGCCCGTAGGTATAAATGGCCTTGGCCTTTCCCGTCTAAAACTCCGCCCGCCCATGCAATATGAGTGGCAATAAATGGAACCATGATGCAACCCCATGCTAGAAATTTTCAAACGCCGCAATGAAACCTCTCCCAGGGAAAAAAAATTTGACATAACGAATAAGAATTGGGCGGGAAGAATGCGACGGTGGCTCTTCACATCAGCCCGCCGAGGACCACTTTGCCTATGCTGGCCACCTCGGCCTTGACCTGGCTCCTACTGTGGTCCTCAAATTCCTTGACGGCGCCCTGGACGATGATTTTGCGCAGCCGGGCGTCGGCTTTGGAGAAGAGCTCGGCGACAGGGGAGGAGCACTCGCGCGGGGTGGGCACGAGGGTGAGGAAGCGCGTGTACGAGTCGATGAGGACGTCGCACAGCGTTGCAAACGTCTCGAAGAAGTCGGGCTCAAAAGGCAACGAGGGCGTCAGGAGGTACGTGTACTCCTCGCCGGGGAGGAGGTCCGACTCGGCGGCGGCAAAGGTCATGACAGAGGGGGCGCCACCGTTGGCGCCGCCCGGGACGGCGGGGAAGGACTGAGACTCGTCGGCAATGTCGGCGGCCGAGGCGGAGCGGCGCGACTTGCCCCCGGGGCGGCGGAACATGTTGGGCAGGCGGGCGCGGGTCAGAGTGGCGGAGGAGTCGCCGTGGAGCTGCTGGAAGGAATCGAACTCGGAGAGCAGGGCGTTGAGGCAGCGGAGGAACTCGATGGCCGAGGACGAGTAGAGGTCGTTGATGGTGGGGACGGAAAGGCCGAGGAGGAGGAAGTTTGTGGCACGACGGGCGAGCTTGCGCGGGTCAAAGTAGGGCATACGCGCGAGATCGGGCCTGTCAAAGAGATAGGTGTTGAACCAGTAGACGCGTCCCTCGTGCCTAAACAAAGTCAGCCCGTGTCATCCGGAGTCGCGGGAACGAGGTCGAGACGCACGCCTTGCGCAGGTAGTCGAGGGTGGAGATGCGCTTGTTGGCCAGTTCTGTAATTTGGTGATGGATCATGCTCGCCTCGCTGGGCTGCCAGATGGACGAGGATGAAGACGAGGCGACGGCGGTGACGGCGGTGGCGGAGGAGACGGACGAGGAAACGCCGCCGCCGCCGCCGCCGCCACCGCTGCCATTGACGCCGAGCGGGGTGGGCGGAGGCATGTACGCCGAAGCAACAGTGGCAGTGGTGCTGGTATTCGTCGTCGTCGTCGTGAGGGTGCGGCTCGGCATGTTCATGTGTGGGCTGGTGACAAGGCCCTGCTGGACCTTTGCGGCGGAGGACAGGGCGTAGTCGGGCAGGGCGGGCGGGGCACTCGGATCGGTGACAAACGAGGCAAAGGAGACGGCAGCGGGTGAGGTGGCCGAGGAGCGGCGAAAGGGCGAGGCGCTCGAGAAGGAGATTTTGCGCGCCGAGGGCGAGGCCGGCAGCGAGGGCTTGCGCACGTCTGCTCGGCCAAAGGTGGTGTTCGACGAGGGCGGGGCGGAGCCGGGGGCGGGAGGGATGTGCGGATGCGAGTGCAGGGGATCGATGCCGTCGCGCGTCGTCGGGCGTGACGATGGCGACTTGCGGTGGTGCGGCGGCGAGAAGATGGAGAGGTTGAGAAAGGCGGGCGTCGTTGACGACCCTGGCGTGGTGGTGCGCTGCATGGCAGCGGCGGCTTTAGGGCGGTCAGATGACGTGGTCGGGCGGGCGCCAGTGCAGTCAGCTGCGTCTCCAGGCGAATAAGCAAAAAGAATAAGCTGAGATAGATACTCGAGAAGAAAAGCAGCAGCGCAAGCAGGAATCGAGGTCTGAGACTTGACAAGAAGAGAAGGGGGGGAAGAAAGAGAGCAAGACCATACTTACGTAGGCAGAATATTCCGCGAAAATCAGGGGAAACAAGGGCAGAAAGGGAGACAGAGAGACAGCTGCTTGCTCGGTTTGATGATCGTCTTATTCCGTTTCGAGGCAACCAACTAACCAAAGCAGGAGTTGAGCCTGCTCAAGGCGACGAGACGTGCCGGTGGTGAACAACAGTGCCTGTGGTGAAGCTGGCTGAAGACATCGCCAACTACTCTAGGAGGGCGAGGAAAAGTTGGAGGAAAAACTCAAAGAGAGAAAAGACAAGAGAAGTGGGCAGGCGAATGGTTATCCCGACAAGCCCTCGTCTCTGAATAAACGGGACGACAGACAGGCCATGTCGAGTCAATTTTGTTTCATGAGCCCATCCATGCCCCCTTCAATGCGCTCCAGGGGTCTTTCCCCCTACAGGTGCCCGGACGTTGCCTGACGCGAGTCTGCAATTGCTCTACTAGGCGAGCCATGGGACCCTTTAATACCAACAGTGAACGGGCGGTATTTCCCTCGGTAGCAGTAGATGGCCCTTGCGCTATCATCGCAATGAAGATGGCTGAGCCAGCGCCATGAGCATGCACTGAAACTTTAGAGAAAGCCGGTTCTTGGGTGCGCCACGCAGAGGCCAGCCTCGAAGAGAGGGCGCCGACGACATGCTCGAGTCGAGGCGCTGCCATCTCGAGTGCCGCTGGCCACGTTGGGAGCTGCTAGCAGTGAATACCCTGGATGAGGCGGGGCAGATTGTACTGCGTGCTTAATGCCAAGTGCCTTTCAGGGTTTCCGGTTGCCCGTAAGTACAACCGGTCCGTCGATGGTACTTGCGGCAACGCCCGTCGCTGACTCGCTATAGGTCTCTGCTAGTAACGGTGCACTGGGCCCCGCTATAGTGGGGTGGGCTCCAGTGCCCCTGCGGCCTTTAACAGGCTGCGGCAATCACCGACCGATGGATGACGCCTGCCTCTGCAGACAAACAATCAAGCTTCCCGTGATAAAGTTTGAGGAAAGCAAACGCGAAGAAAAACACCTCATCCTCACACCCGCGAGAAACATCGCCATCGCCATCTGCATTACGCCAGCACGTCCACAAACGCAACCGCCGCCAGTAACCGCCAAAACCACCAAACAGCTCCCACAACGACCAGAGCTCCAGACAGCTCTCCCTGCCTACCCCTTCCCTTCCTCCTCGACAACGCTTCCCACCATGAGCGCCCTCGGGACTGACGAGGAGCTCCATGCCCCCCAGGGCGAGCCCGCCAAGGAGCTTCTCGAGGGCCGCATCTGGGTCGATGGCTGCTTCGACTTTTTCCATCACGGTGCGTCTCTCGCCCCTCGGCCCACGGAGCTCTCGCAAACAAGCGACTGACCCGGTTGCTAGGCCACGCCGGCGCCATGGTCCAGGCCAGACAGCTGGGCGACGAGCTCTACGTCGGCGTGCACTCGGACGAGGACATTCTCGCCAACAAGGGGCCGACCGTCATGACCCTCGATGAGCGGTCCGTATTCGCGCCTCGTCGCACATCCTGCCAGCCTCCTTCGACGTGAATGTGGTGCAGCTTACTGACCCAACCGTCCGTCTGCCCGGCCTCATCCATCTCCAGACTCGCCGCTACCAACGCCTGCCGCTGGGTGACAAAGTCCATTGGCCACGCGCCCTACGTGACGCAGCTGCCCTACATCTCCCATTACGGCTGCAAGTACGTGGTCCACGGCGACGACATCACCTCGGACAGCAACGGTAACGACTGCTACCGCTTCGTCAAGGAGGCCGGGCGCTTCAAAGTAGTTAAGCGCTCGCCCGGCATCTCGACGACGGACCTCGTCGGCCGCATGCTGCTCTGCACAAAGACGCACTTTATCCACTCGCTCCAGAAGATGCTCGTCGGCGATGAGGGCTACGGCTCCCACGATGAGCGCCTCGCCCAAGGCCACGCCATGATGGAGCGCATCAAGCTCTACGCCACCGACGAGACGGCCAAGGCCCCCGGCGCCGACGTCTGGTTCTGGTCCGCCACCGCCGCGCAGACGGCGCCTAACGCGAGCGGCTCCTTTGGCAAGCTCCTCGGCGGGCGAGGGCCGCGTCCGGGACAGCGCATTGTCTACGTCGACGGCGGCTTCGATCTCTTCTCGAGCGGCCACATCGAGTTTCTGCGAAAGGTGATGGAGGAGGAAGAGCATGAGCTGGCACACAAGTCAGGCTGGTACTCGGACCAGGCGACTGCCCAGAGGCGCGCAGCCGACGGCGGGGACTATGGGTCCGCGTTTGTCGTCGTGGGCGTCCACGAGGACGGCGTCATCAATGAGTGGAAGGGCATCAACTACCCCATCATGAACATTTTTGAGCGCGGGCTGTGCGTGTTGCAGTGCAAGGTATGTCTGCCATGCCTTGTGGTGGAATCTTCCCTTGCCTTGATTCCGCCCCGACCGGGAAGCTGCGCGACTGACGCCTGCCGCGTCTAGTACATCAATGCCGTCGTCTTTGGGGCGCCGTTTACGCCCACCAAGGCATATCTCACGTCGCTGCCGTGGGGCCCACCGGACGCCATCTACCACGGCCCGACATCGTTTATGCCCCTAACGTACGATCCGTACACAGACCCCAAGGAAATGGGCATCTACCGCGAGATTGGCGAGCATGCCTTTTCCGAGGTCAACGCGGCCGAGATTGTCCAGCGCATCATGAAGAGCCGAGACATGTACGAGGCACGGCAGCGTGCCAAGGGCGTCAAGGCTGAGGTGGAGGCGGCGGCCCGGCGGCGGGAGTTGATGGAAGAGGAGCAGCGCAAGGTGGAGGCGGAGAGGAGCGAAGGAGCATGAGCGGCGCAGGGACATGACAAGGATCCAGAAGCAAAGGCCGACGACGATGTCAAGGCAATGGATGGGAGCACGGCATGATGCAAAACGACGGTTGGCGAGCGAGTGTGCCGCTTCTTGACCGCCTTGTCAAAAGGCGTCGAGGAAACCGGGCAGAGAGGAGACGGGCTGGTCACGCTGGCAGGCTAGCGGCGTCGTGATGGAGGGATGCTGCTCGCCAAGGTATTCACGGTGACGTGGGAATTCAACATATTCTACAACGAGCATTGCATAGGGCGCCAATGACAAGACACGGGCATCAATCAAGGAGTGTGGTGGTGACGGAGCGAGATCGGCCGGCTTGTCAGGAGAGTCTATGCCTGTGGAGGAGGAGGCGGCTATCGACGGCGCAGGCTGGAGGGCGTTGGCTGATGAATTCCGCGCCCCACCCTCGGCCCTCGTGACGTCGGAGCCCGTGACAAATGAGCACGTGCTCGCCGGCCGAAGCCGAAGACGGGGGAAGATGTGCTGAGAAAAGGCGGCGAGTCTGAGACAGAATCCAGAACGACGAGAGGCACAAGGAGTTCATCGGCATACATGCAATATGTATGTCCCTGCTCTCCAAGTCTCCCGGCCCAATCGACGTCGGAACGGCGCGATCTCCCAATGGAGGCGGGGCGGCACACGGGGCTCGGGGCTCGGGACCCCAACGCACTGTGGCATGCACGCCATGCCTGACGGGGCGAGCCATGACGAGCCGAGGGGCGCACGGCGGCGGGTTTCCGCGCGGCCATGCCACGACTCGAACCAAGCGTTGCGGCAAGGGGGGCAAGGGGGGCCGAGGGTAGGGGGAGACAGATAGAGGGGGGGGGGATGGCTTCCAGCTTCTCGGCAGGCGTCGGAGCAGGACACCAAGGGCCAGCTGGGCTTGTGTCTTTGGTCCAATCGGTGGCCTTGCGGCAGGGGGCCCTTGTCGCTTGGTGCGGAGTCTACCGAAAGGGTGGTGCAGAACCGGACGCTGACGAAGAGCGAATGTTGTGTAGGTAGTTGCGGCAAGTTCTCGTGTATGGCTGACTTGAAGGAGACTCAATAGGCGGGCAATATGCTTCATAGCTTGCATTCGTGGCAACGGCAGGCTGCCCTTGCAGTTATATATCACACCGGGTCCTGTGCGGCATAGCTGTAACGGAGCAGCGCATACAAAGGATGGTGGCCAGGCGAACACAGACGCCAACTGGCCGCTGCCAAGTTCCTACGAGGCCAACTGGAAATGACGCGGCGTGCCGTGTGGCATTGACGGAACGGCGAGTATGCAAGTGAGAGAGCAGGCATCTGGCTAGTTCCCTTGGAGGCCAGGAGAGAGAGAGAATGAGAGGGAGGGAGGGGAGGAGTGTCTGATACTTGGCACACAGAAAGGAAATGAGAGCGAGAGGTGTGACTGACGACGGGGCGTCCTTGGATAGCCGACTCGGCGGCCCGCCCGCCGGCTCCGCCCTTGACGTGGGTGCCACCGGGGCGGGCGACTCGGGGAAGCTTATAATATTTATCATTCTTGCCATTGCCCCTTTCCCCCTTTCCCCTTTATCGACGTCTGCCCGCGCTGTGCTCTCTTGGTTTCCTCTCTCCTCGCTTTTCACTCCCTCTGTGTCGTCACTCTTGGCTTTTAGTCTCTCCCATCTGCCTTGCCATTCCCATTGCTCGGCAACGGTCCCACGCACGGTCTCTGCTCCCCTGACCTTTTTGCTTCTTGTTCTCCCCCTGTCGCGGGTTTGTTGAATTGCGGGGGCCAGGGGGGTCGACGCACCGACTTGCTGCGCATCGCCAACGGCCGACGCCGGCTTTGAACGGGGCGAAGGAATCATCGGGCTCAGCAAGACACACTCAATCAAGACACTCACACTCGCACATTCATACATTGAAAGGACCATAACGAGAAAAGACCAGAAAGTACGGTAAAAGAGCAGACGCCATGGCCCCCTCCGCTGTTACCCCCCCTCAACGACACCAAAACCAACCGCAACAGGATATTGACCTGACGGCCGCCGCCCTCGAGCTCACGGAGGCCGCATCGGCCAACGGCCACGGCAACGGCCACGACCATGGCACCGGCGAGGCGCCCCTGGACGCGTCGCTGCTCACGCGGACGCTCACCATGAAGCCCCGCGCCGTGCCGGTCGACGAGGCGGCCGCCCACGCCGGCGACGAGACGGTCGCGACGGACCACATGGTGACGGCGGCGTGGCGGTCGGGAGCCGGCTGGGCGGCGCCGGAGCTCAAGCCGTACGGCCCGCTGAGCCTGATGCCGACGGCGTCGGTGCTGCACTACGCGACCGAGTGCTTCGAGGGCCTCAAGGTCTTCCGCGGCTACGACGGCCGCCTGCGCATCTTCCGCCCGGACCGCAACGCCGCCCGCATGCGCATGTCGGCCGCCCGCATCTCGCTGCCCGTCTTTGACCCGGCCCAGCTTGAGCGCCTGATGCTGGAGCTGCTCGCCGTCGACGGCCCGCGCTGGCTGCCGCGCGACCGGCCCGGCGCCTTCCTGTACCTGCGCCCGACGCTCATCGGCACCCAGCCGCAGCTCGGCGTCCAGGTCTCGCGCCAGGCGCTGCTGTACGTGATCCTGACCTTTATGCCGCGCCTCGACGCCCCCGCCGGCGGCATGCGCCTGCACACGTCGCCCGGCGACATGGTGCGCGCCTGGGTCGGCGGCTTCGGCTACGCCAAGCTCGGCGCAAACTACGGCCCTTCGCTGCTCGCCACCCAGGACGCCCGCCGCCGCGGCTTCCACCAGATCCTGTGGCTGTACGACCCGGCCGCCACCGTCGGCGGTGGTGCGGCCGGTGCCGGCGACGGCGACTCGTCCGCCGACGAGCGCGCCGAGTGCACCGAGGCTGGCGCCAGCAACTTCTTCGTCGTCTGGCGCCGGCCCGAGGACGGCCGCCGGGAGCTGCTGACGGCGCCGCTCGACGACAAGCTCATCCTCGACGGCGTCACCCGCCGCAGCTGCCTCGACCTCGCCCGCCAGCGCCTGGCCGACGAGGACCTCGTCGTCACGGAGCGCAAGTACACCATTGCCGAGCTGCTGTGCGCCGACGCCGAGGGCCGTATCCTCGAGGCCTTTGCCGCGGGGACCGCTGTGAGTTCCCAACCCATCCCTCGATTCGCACAGAGGAGTCTTGGAGGAGAGAAGCACGACTGACCCGCCTCCAGTACTTCATCTGCCCCGTGTCGCTGATCCACCACCGCGACCGTGACATCCACATCCCCATCGGCCCCGGCGACGAGCTCGGCGACGTCACCGGCAAGCTCAAGCGCTGGATCGGCGACATCATGTACGGCCGCGAGGACCACCCGTGGGGGGTCGTTATTGAAGAAAAGGAGTAGAGCCCCTGGATTTGCTTCTGCAGTCATCACTTTGCTCGACAAGGCAAGGGAGCTTGGGTGGAGCGAGGGTCTGCTCCCCCTGTTGACGAACTAGACATCATCCTTATCCCATGTAACGCCTCTTGTTTGCGCGGCGGGCGACCTTTCCTGAGTCGAGAGGGGAGTTTTGGCTAGGCGAACTAGTTTTCTTCTGTTCTTCTCTCTTTTTGTGTTTTTCTTTGATCGAAGCCTGGCCGTCTGCTTGGGACGAGGAACAAGACGATAAGCGGGCGGAGGTTTGAGAGTCCGACGACGCATTTGCACACCGGGTTTGGGTCACGAGATAGACGCCAATGTACTGACGCGAGATCGAATACCACGGAAAAAAAATTACAAGAAGAGCAAGCATCACCCGGGAAGCTGCACGCCGCTTCATCTACCGGTGACCAAATGAATGCAGGCACTATTCTGCTCTCCAAGCGCCTCCAGTAGAGCCATCCCAGGAAATGATGCATACATACGATCATGAAGTCCATGACCCGTAGCTCATGCCAGTCGAAGCCTCCTAGCCTGCCATTATGCTCTGCATCATCGTCATGGTCTCGCCCTGTATCAGCCCCCTAAATTCCTGCCGTACCGCTCGTCAGTCGTCGGCCGTCTTGTCTCCAGCCCAAGACTTACCGCATCAATCTCGTCGAGCAGCTCCTCGTTGCTTTGCACCAGCTCGTCGAGAGCCTCACTCAACAACTTGATCTCGCGTGTCAGGGCGTCGTCTAGTCCACTCTCGTCGAGCTGTGAGGCCTCGTCTTCGATTTTGCGAAGCTCCGTCCAAGCCTGGTGTTGCTCCGCGAGGCACGAGTCCCATTCTTTTTGGAGCCCCCCGAGCTGCTCCTGCGCCTTGGACAAGATGCAGACGACTGTGGAAAGGTGAGATGCAGTCTTGGCACTGGGGAGATCTGTTCCGTGACAGAGCGTAGCAGACAACGGGCGCAAGTTTGCGTACATGGCCCGGGCTTTCGAGGAGACGGCTGTCGATTTTCCGGACAGGGCATCAATCCGAGCGCTCAAGTCGCCGTGAGCGTGCATGATTTCTCTGGCAACAGAAGTGTAGCAGTGGAGTCCCGCTTCTGCAAAGGCCTCTACGTGTGCATGTTGGCTCAAACAACCCGAGGAGAACGACAATGACTTGGGTCAAGCATGGGAGTAAGCACACCTCTCAGCTGCGCAAGAGCGCCGCCATCAACGTCGGGATGGCTCTTGGCGTTGTTCGACTGCTGGACGACGGAGGGCATGGAGTCCAAGGCGAAACAAGCCCTGAAGCGCTGATAGACGTCGGGGTCTGGACGACAAGTGGGTGGGGAGCTTTGATCTACCCGGGCAACGAGATGGGGACTGCGGAGGCGGGCGCGCAACGTCGACGAGCTGGCTGGGTCGAGCAGAGTCGAGGAGGAATACAAGTCGCCGCCCTCGGGGGGGAGGGCGAATGCTTGCCGGTTGCTCATGGCTGCCGAAGAATGCGCGTGCATCGGACAGACAGAGTAGAGCTGTTGATGTCGAGAGAGGGGGCTGACCCTGGTGGTGGAACCTGTTGACTCGGGGCACCGCAGAGCCCGGCCCGACCTTGCCTGGATCTTGAGGTCAGAAGCGATGGGAAGGGAGGAGGAGGAAGTTGGAGAGAATTGGAGAGAGTTGAGGTCGAAGAAGGATGAATAAAGGGCCGAAGGGGAATTCATCAGGAAATGTGCCGTGTGGCCGAGGTGGGCGTAATTGCGCAAGGAAGGCGCGGATCGATAGCGACTGACGGCCAAGGGCAGACAGCTGGACGAGGCTGACGGCTCGCGACCTCGCCACACTCGGCCCCGGTAGCCCGCATTGTCAAGCTGGGTTGATCAGAATTATGTAACAGACAAGCTTGAGTTACTAGAGCTTCAAGAGGCTCTTTGGGTTGCTTGGGGAGCCGATCCGAAAGACTTCCTTGGGAGATTAGCTCGTGGCATGCCAGACAGACTTCACGATGTAGTTGGGAGTGGTAATTACCTAGGAACCGGTAGGCAGGCAGCAGATAAAATGGTAGGAGAGTATAGATACAATTTCCTTGGTCGAGAATGCCAGTAATAACATGTTACTCTACTATTCCATCACTTGTGGGGCTTGTACAGTATCTGCAGCGCCTTTGTGATCCTAGTGGACTGTAATAGCCCCCCATCCATAAGTAGGGGAGGTATGGTCGGCTTGTCCACATACTAATGTACTCGCATTGGCCACATCCTCGTCGACATGTTGCAAGCAGCGCCCAGGGGCCCCGAAATCCAGGCCGACGGCACCCACGCCTCGGCTGCCAGCAACGTCGCGCTGGCTCGCAACGACGGCAAGCGGCATCTCCTGCTCGCCGCCTCGGGCTCTGTCGCCACCATCAAGATTATGCAGATCGTCAACGGGCTCGCGTCCCACGGCGCCCTGTCCATCCGCATCATCCTCACAGGCGCCGCCGAGCACTTCCTGGGCGGACAGGCGCCCGAGCAGCCATCGTTGGCCGAGGTGCGGCGGCTGCCCAACGTCGACGGCATCTACACCGACGCAGCCGAGTGGACGCGGCCGTGGACCCGGGGCGCGCCCATCCTGCACATCGAGATGCGGCGATGGGCCGACGTGCTCGTCATCAGCCCGCTGAGCGCAAACACAATGGCCAAGATGGCGGCCGGCATCTGTGACAACCTGCTACTGTCCGTGGTGCGGGCGTGGGACACCGACGGGGCCATCGACGGCGAGCGCAAGAAGATTGTCGTGGCGCCAGCTATGAACACAGCCATGTGGCGCCACCCTGCCACCGCGAGGAACCTGCGCACGCTCGACGACGACTGGGGCGGCGACGAGGGGTGGATCGAGGTGCTGCGGCCCGTGTCCAAGACGCTCGCGTGCAATGACGTGGGCGACGGCGCCATGGTTAGCTGGGAGGAGATTGTCGCCGTGACCGAGGCGAGGCTAGGGCTTCGAAAGGCTTGATTGAGAGAGCCGGCAGGCTTTCTTAGAGATCAAGGACCCGACGCGTATCCTGCCAGCGAATACAATATGGAGGCCAACGTGCAGCAGAAAAGGTCCCATTCTGCAAGGTGAATCACGGCTTGCAAGGGCCTAATAAGAGTCACAGACGACGTGAAGTGGATGCTAAAGATAACGTATAGCCTAGGCCGTTTCCCCAGAAGGGCAAAGCCGAAAGATGATGCCGCCAGCCCCTGATTGCTTTCATCAAGAAATCCCCCCCCCTGGACTACTATACCCTGCTAATGCAGTTTCACCGCTCTAGAAGGTAAATCAAGGCTTACAAGGGTCTCAGAGTCCCAGGCAGCATGAAGTGGATGCTAAAGATAATGTGTAGCCTATATCGAGTGACTGTCTTGAACTGTCCGGTTTGGTTCCGTGTCGTTCCGTCGTTAGACATCATGAGCACGTATTGGCTCGCTGCCCTTGAATACCCACGCTTGCCGCATCAGCAAGTCAGGTACGGAGTACCGAGGATTGGTCAGCACGATATTACATCACCCAACAAGAGCTCCCGGATTCATCATCGGCCATTTGCACCGAGTCTTTTTTCTGCCGCGGAATTAAACGCTCTCGAACCGCACCAACAGGCGCTGTCCACTGCTGAGAACCATGTTTGCCCGAACTGCCGCTTCAGTGCGTCGTCCCTCCAAAGCCCGCAAGAGCTTCGTCGTCGCTGACTCGATCGATGAACCCAGAACCTGCTACGGCAGGTCGCACGCCCGCCACCGCTGGCCGCCTCGACCCTCCGAGCGCGCCTCGCGCCCCCGATGCTCTTCCAGACGCGCTTGCTGTCCGACCAGACGCGCTCCGCCATCGGTAAGGCCGTCGCATCGGCGCCCGTGGTGCTCTTCATGAAGGGGACCCCCGAGATGCCCCAGTGTGGCTTCTCCCGCGGCGTCATCCAGATTCTCGGCTTGCAGGGCGTCAACCCACAAAAATTTGCCGCCTTCAATGTTCTCGAGGACCCGGAGCTGCGGCAGGGCATCAAAGAGTTTTCCGACTGGCCAACGATTCCCCAGCTCTACGTGCAACAAGAATTCATTGGCGGCGCAGACATTGTCCAGAGTCTGTTCAAGAGTGGCGAGCTTGCCAAAATGTTTGAGGACAAGGGGCTTCTGGTGTCTGGGGAAGAGGAGCAACAGAAATAAACGACGAGCGCCGGCCGACAGATGTGTGGTGGCCAGGGCCGAGAGCAGGCCCTTGCTTCGTGTACGATGACATGACCAGCATGGGAAGGGAAGGATGTACAAACAGGGTGCGATACAATACCGCATGGGTCTGTCTTGACATGTGCTCGTCGACACTTGGCTAGGGGAGGGTTCTGACAGCCCATTGCTTGACACAACAGTCGATCACCTTGCCGTCTTCTTGTCCAACCACCTCACGCCGGATATGCGGCCCCGTCAGCTCTCATGTCGCTTCCCGCCGACCATACGGGCGTGCCGTCTGCCAGATCGACGGCGTACCGGATGATCTGGCCCCGTCCAAACAGCCCCCTGTGCGCACCGTCGACTACCACTACCTTGTGGCCCAGTTTCTTGAGCCCTTGGACGGTGGCCTCCGGCATGCCCTCCTCCACGTTGACCGTCCACTCGGTCCCTCCCAGGCCGTCGACCGGTGTGTCGGCGACGATGCACACCCTCGGCGCGTCAAGCGCCTGCTGCGGGTTGAGGCCGCCGACGAGCTGGCCCAGCAGCACTTGGACATGGCCCTGGGGCTGCATGAAGCCGCCCATGACGCCAAAGGTCGAGTGCAGCGACCCGTCGGCCAGGTTGGTCACCATTCCGGGAATGATGGTGTGGTAGGGCCGCTTGCGAGGCGCGAGCCGGTTCGGGTGCCGGCTGTCGAGGGAGAAATTTGCGCCGCGGTTCTGCAGCGTGAAGCCGCACCCGCGCGGGATGATGCCCGTGCCGAAGCCGGCGTAGTTGGAGTTGATGAAGGACGCGGCGTTGCCCGCGGCATCCGTCACCGAAAAGTAGACGGTATCGCTGCTCCGAAGCGCCGGCGACGTAAAGGCTGGCGGGTCGCCGTGGCTGAGCTTGGCCGCCGTCCGGGACGGTTCGAAGAGGCGGGCGCGCTCGGCGAGGTACGATTCGGAGATGAGGCCTGCGCTGGGCACGTCGACAACATCCGGATCCGTCACGAACCAGTAGCCGTCGGCAAAGGCCAGACGGAGGGCTTCTATGATGGCGTGGAGGTAGGGGGCCGAGTTGAAGTCAGAGGGCCCAAAGGTCGGGATCGCGCCTTGCTTCTCGAGTTCCTGGATGATGCCCAACGCCATGAGGGCGACGATGCCCTGCCCGTTGGGCGGGTGCTCCCACAGCTCGACTCCCTTGTCCTCCCCGAGCCCCTGGCCGCGGAACTTGAGCGAGATGGGCTCCGTCGGCTGGGTGCCCGTGTCGAGATGGTAGGCGAGGTCGTCGAGCTCCAGGCGGCCGCCGAGATCCTGCACCACCTTGACGAGCTCCTCGGCGATGCGGCCTGTATAGAAGCCTCGCTTGCCCTCGGCGGCCAGGGTGCGGAACGTCTTAGCCAGCGTCGGGTTCTTCATCACCTCGCCGGCACGCGGTGCGCGGACGCCGTCGTCTGCGGCCGGGTCCTTTTTGAGCATCTCGGCAAAGTTGGGCGAGGCTTTGCGGAGGAACGACTCGGAAGCAGTCCACTGCATCATTCTTTGTCAGTGATGGAGCTGCCCCAGTGCCACCTCACTCGTGGTCCTTTCACAGAGATTGACGAGGTCAGGGCTAGAGGCGCACGTACGTAGTTACCCATCACCTCGGAGACAGGGAATCCCCTCTCGCCAAGTTGGATGGCCGGGTCCAGGATGGCGGCCATGTCGAGCTTGCCGCTGCCGAAAAGCTCGACCGTGTCGACCCAGCCAGCCGCGGCGCCGGGGACGGTGACGGCGTGGGCGCTGTGGGGGGGGATCTCGCCGACAGTGCCGTCTGGGATGCCGAGATCCCGGCGGATCGTGTCGAGGGTGTACTTGGCCCCGGCGCGGCCCGAGCCGTTCAAGGCCTTGACCTGCTTGCTGGCGGCGTCCCAGAAGAGGACGAACATGTCGCCGCCGATGCCTGTGGAGCCGGGCTCCGTCATGTTGAGACCGGCGACTGCGACGTCATGATACCGTTAGCCAGGGTCCCTTTCCCCATCCTCCTTGGAGTCATGAGCGCATCAAGGGAGCCGTTTCCGAACAGTCGTCGGTTGAAACGTACCAACCGCGACGGCTGCATCCTGCGACACGGCGTGCGCGAGATTCATGTCAGCACTTTGTCAAGGCGTTGGAAGGAAGAGGAGGAGAGGCTACGGACAGCGGCGTTCCCCCCGGCGCGCAACACATCGAGGCCGCACTTTGCCGCGAGGGGCTGTGTGCAGGCGACGATGCCGTCGGTGCTGTGCACGACGCTGCGCCGCGACGGGAAGCGGATCGTCAGGGGTGACGGGGGGGGCGACGGGGCCCGGCGGAGGGACGGGGAGCTGGGCCGCGGCATGCTCGAGGTTGGCGAAGCCGAGCGGTTCCGGCGCGTGCTGCGCTTGTATGAATTCTTTGCGCGCCGAAGATTTTGATGATGTTGCTGGTGATGTACTGAAGCAGGAAAGCGTAGAACAGGCCCTGAGGTGAGAGTATGGGCGGGCAAAGAGACAAGTTATGACGAGGGAGGAGAAGAAAAGTATCACGAGCACCGAAGTGTACGGCAAGCGGCCCTCAAACTATCCACGGACATATGATGGCACCCGCCCACCACATGCATCAAGTAGGTACAGTAGTAGGTAATGAGCCCTGCACTCCATGCAATAAGCCTCGGCAACGGATTCGCCCGTCCAACCGGCGGGGGAAGAAGCCCATGCGTGAGGCGGGATGCGGGGCGATGTCCGTGACTTCGCCGGACACCGGAAGCCGAACTTGGGCCGGCAAAAGTCAGGTGGCGAATGTGACAGGTCAGGGTCTCTTTGGGGTATCAATATCCTACGGCCGTCGAATGTAAAGCCAGGAGCTGATGGAGACTCTGAACGTGCATCAAGACGCAGCTTTGGACCGGTAGTCGTGCGGCCAGACACGGGCGGTTGCTGATTTCGCAAATGATGGAGCCGAAGCATCGCGAGCGTTGCAATATTGACATGGTGTTACAAATTCAAGTCTCGTGATACGTGAGCAAGCTTTGATAAGTCGTGTGTGAGTGTGAGCAAGCACAGCAGCGTGATAAAGATGGCATAAGGCGCCCACCCTCGCCGCTGCGGCTCGCCGTATCCGGACCCCATCCTCGCTCCTCTGGATTCCCATGGTCTCGGCAAAGTACCATCACAGGTGAGACGAACGGGCCTCACCGCCACGCAGCTCGCGCAAGACGTCCTCGGCCGTCGCGACGGCATCAACGGCGAACCCGTAGCCCGCCTGGAAGCCGGTGCCGCCGGCGCCGTAGTTGTGCACGAGGGCCCGCATCGTCCCGCCGACGGACATGTCACTGCGCTCGACGCGCGCGCCGCCCTCCCGCGAGGGACGCAGCCCGGCGAAGGCGGCGAGGACCTCGAAGGGCTGGCGCCGCAGCTCCGGGCACAGCGCCGATGTGCGGAATAGGATGGACTCTGTCTCGTGCGCGTACGTGGCGGCGTCACTTTACCAAGCGCAGAGAAGACACGAGAGTGTTAGTTGGCGGAAGCCCATGCGAGGGCGGGAGGGTCGGGAAGGGGGCACGAGGGACCTGCCTGTTGCCCTTTTGCATGAATCCCCCGAGGATGACGTTTCCGTTGGACCCCGGCCGCGGGATCACATACGTCGTGTAGTCGCTCCCATAGCGCATCATGGTGCACGAGACGGCCGGCGCCCGGACGAGCACGACCTGCCCGCGCGTCGGGAAGCACAGCGGGTCCTCGACGCCCGGCAGCGTTCTGGCGGCGTTGCCGGTGCAGTTGAAGACGAGGCGCGTGGCGGGCGTCGCAAAGGCCGCGCGGATGCCGTCGAGCCGGCGGCGCACAAAGCGCACGCCCAAGTCGTCGCGGAGCCGGCGGTGCAGGTACTCGAGGTGTCGCGGCGCGTTGACGGCCAAGGTGGTGCATGAGACGCCGCACTGGACGCCGGGTGGGAGCTCCGAGGGCGGGATCATCCTGAACTGCAGCGAGGCGGCGCCCATGACGGCCAGACTCAGCATTCCCAGCGGTCTTGGTGATCCTAGTGGTCCACTTACGTCTTCAAGGTACTCCGACATGGTCCGGATCTTGTCGTGCGGCACGCTGGCATCCCAATACTCGATCGAGTGCGTCCGGGCAACAAAGGCCTCCCTGCCGTGTTCCGACGCCATCCTGCCGAGGTGTGCGTAGCCCAGGCGATCCCATCGCAAGGCCTTCTCGTCGCTTCCCGAGACGGCTGAGAAGTTGCACCCGGCCCTTCAGCTCAGCCGATGACCCAGGGCGGCGTCAGTCAAATCTCAGTCGTCGCCGCCGACATATCAAGCCTCGGCGTGGCCTCTCTCGGCTCACACGTACCAGGGCGAGGTGTACTCCGGAGACGTGTCGCCCGGCAGAAACTGCGCGACGACGGTAATCAAGGGCCCGAATCCGCGCTCGGCGAGGACGAGCGCCACATCCAGGCCAGCGATGCCGGCCCTGGCCCGAGGTCGTCAGCGGACAATGACTGCTCCCTCGGGTGGATGACCCCAAGGCTCCTCACCCGACAATGACAATGGCGTCTCTGCTCGTAGATGATTTCGTCATGGCGCTCGTTTGTCAGTGGCATGTTGCAGAGTTCGCGAGCCCCGAGATCGCAAGGCGGGGTTGGGGCCGGAGGCGGGGGCGGCCGGAGGCTGGAGCCAGAGCGTCGGCATTCGGCGCATCTGCTCTCACTCATTGTTCCATGATGTTCTTTGACACGCGGATAGGGCTGGACTAATGAACACAGTATTGGGTAAATCCATCTTTGCATGGTCTTCGCCTCTCTGGTATCTCTATAGTATTTCGTGCAGGCAGACGCTTCATGTCCTCTTACCCTATATCCGCTTACAGCCAAACATGTCGTCTTGTGGATTCGCCATCGACGGGGCTCATGTTCGTGTGATGCCTCCGCCGTCTTGACCCGAGGAGTGTCCTGTCCGTCTCGACTCGCCCGGTGGCGGTACGAGAGTCATCAACCCCCGGAAAACTATATAGTCATGTCGAAGATCGTGTCTGGAAAAAGACAGGGACTCGTCAACGTGGAATTTTATAACACAGCTCCCACATCCAACCACAAACGCCTGTTCCTTTTCGTCATCATACCATCCGGGAGTCGAGATTGGTGCGCGGCTCTGCAAAGCACGCGGCCGTCCACACGGGTCCGTTCGGCGGCACCAGGTTCTTCTCGCTGTCGTCGTCGGCGTCGGCGTCAGTGGCCACGGCACTCATCTCGAAGGATTGCTGTACCTGGATCTCGAGCGGCGACGCCTTGCAGTCGTGGTCGCCGCTTTGGTCCCGCCGCGGGGCGCTCCCCTGTGCCGAGCGCCCGGTCCGGGACCGCTTGGCCGACTCGCCCAGGGAGCTGATCATCCGGGGAAAGAACTTGACGAAAAGGGGCTTGAGAGCCGGGACTGAGGCACAAACTATGGCTACGTTGATCTCGAGCCCGGACCAGATAGCAATTTCTACTCCTTTTACTAAGTCGGTAGAACAACAACACTTGTCAGTCCAAAAGTGCCATCTTGGAATGCGTCAAATGAAAGTGGCCATCCCTCCCTGCTTGCTTACCTGGTTGTTGATCGATGGGAGCCGAGTTGTTGATGTACAGAGAGTGAAGTCTTATGATGGCAACGATGCAGGCACTGCAGAAGAGGTCAAGACCCAGAGTCAGCATCCTGAGAGCTGGACTTGGAAACGACAAAGCTGCGCGATGCAGCAAGGGGGAAAAAGAGACACTGGAGGAGCGACAAACATGTGAGAAATGGACTACAAGGGAGACATACAAACCACCACAAGCAAACACGGCCATGAGAACAATCTTGGCCCTCCGTGGAATCTGCAGACCCTTGAGATAGGGGACGGGGGCGGCGAGCAAAGCAATGTCGTTGGCAATGTTAAAGCCAGCGAGCGCATAGTGCAGGTTGGAGCGATCAATACACGAGCCGGGGATGCTGTCGTCCCAGTACTTTGCGACTGGCACGCAGGTGAGGGTCGATGACAGGAAGCAGAAGAGGCCGTAGACGGTCAGCCAGATGATGAGGCCGAGAAAGATGCGCTGGGCGCTCTTCTCGGTAAAAATGCGCTTGCACTGCAGCAGGATGGAGAACTTGACGGAGAGGTGGGTGAAGCTGTAGGCGATGATGGTGGCGTAGAGAGATTGGAGGAACTGCTGGAGATAGGCCGGGTTGACTTGGTCTCCCAGACCGTATCGGATCTCTGCGAGCTTGCGCGTCAGATCGGAGAAAGACTAAGAAGGGGGGAGTCTTACGGTGCATGACGGCCGTCAGGAAGCCTATTGTGCCGAACTGCATGGCATGGCGATTAGCCGCGACACTGCTTGTAGTAACTTACATCTCTCGCGACTTCGGCCTAGGAGCTCCCATGAGCACCACGTCGCCTCGACTCTACTCGCTTTGTTCAACGAGAGAGTCACGACGTAGAATTCGACGAGGGAGATGGAACCGTTGACCGATTCGCGTTCGTGTGGAGTTCTCTTACCATGGCGGCGCATATAAAATAGTCATCGAGGCCGACATTGCGGACCAAGACGGCCCGGGTAAAGATGCGCAGCCAGACGGCCAGGCTTGCGAGGGACGTGAAGAGGAAGCCGGCCAAGACGAGGCCGTGGTTGCGGTCGACGATGGCGATATCGCCCACGTACCACATTGTCTGTAGCACAGTCGGCGTCAGGAGGCAGCGGAGGGCGACGAGGCACGCAGCCAAGAACGGATGAACGTCCTGCGTTTGTCTTTACGACCAAGAGGCGCGAGGAACTCGAACCAGCTCAAAGGCGGGCTTCCACTCTTTCAATTACACTTCCTCACACACCACCTCTCTCTTCTCGAGAAAAAGGACAAGAAGAGGCAAACAAGTAAAATGCCCAGCCGGCAGGTCCCTGGCCCTTTGTGGCGTTTGGTGTGGCAAAGGACACATGCCGGTGTGGGTGAGCAAGGCTGCGCAAAGCAATCTGTCACATTTTGCAAGAGAAGAGGGAGTAGGGGGAAAGAAGGAATATAGGCCATCAGAGCCGACGAGGCCAGAAAAGAAGAGCTTGGTGATTCTTGCCTGTCCTCAGCATGCGCCGGTCGGGACGGTTCCAGCCTTTTCACCCATCCATCGGGCTTCATCTCCCGAACCACCTCTCCCTCTTTCCACCAGTCGGCCTCTTTATTCTTTTCTCGGGCCCGTCTTTTGGACCATGCTGTGCAACGGCCGGCCGCCGCTGTGCCCTCTCGCACTTTAGATACGCTGGGGTATTCTTTTTCTCTCTTCACGCCTTTCTCCATTCCCTTCAATGTCATCGCTTCTTTCCATATCCTTTGCTCCCCGCCTTGCCCAGCTCCAGTGACACTGGGGGCTGGACAAGTCCGAGAAACGGGGCCAAACCGTCCGACCGAGACCTTGGTCGCGCTAATGCGCGCCCGTGCTGCTTTTTGGAGTCGATTGGGTGCTTCTTGGTGATGTTCCTCTTTTTGCAGATCATGGCCCAGCATTACAACACAGACATGCCTGAACTCTTGGACACGGCATGGCCCTAGATTCTAAAAGTGTGTACGAGCGAGACATTGGTTGCCCGAGGTCGAGTAATCAAACATACACTCCTGATTTTCAAACATACACTCCCGACCTAAGCCCCATTTGGAAGAAGACCCCGCCACCAAAATTTGGCGCGCGCTTTCCCAACGCCCTGGCTTGCCGTGACCATCGCCGCCGCCCACCCGCCCAGCCACCTGACTTTTGGCCGCCATCTGCATTTTCGCAATCATCAACAATTGAAGCTATCACCACTTGACTCAACACAACAGCAACGCCGCCGCCGCCTACCGCAATAGTCACGTCTAGTCAATCGTCCCGATGAATTCGACCGAAAGCAATACCAACAGTAGCACCGAGGCTATCACGGAGATGTCTTTCGATACGTATGATGAGGCGCTTGAAACACTCAAAGCTACGCAAGAGCTCCTTGGCTACGTCGTAGTCGTTGCAAATAGCAAGAATACCGGCAAGCCTAGGCGCAAGGAAGCCAATATCCGCTGTGAATACAGTGGTCAGTATAGGCCCTGGGACGAGGCAGAGGGTATATACAAGACGTCATCCAAGAAGTCGGGATGTGACTTTCGCTGTTACATCCGCTTCTACCGACGTTGCAATGCATTCAAAGTCACCATCAAGCACGGCTCTCATAACCACGAACCTCTATTTGAGCCAATTGCTAACCCCATCGTCCGTCAACGAAGCCAACGCAAATTCGGCATCGAGCGTCTTCATAGCCTCGTCGAGGGGCTTAGCAAGAACGTCAATAACAAGAGCAGGGATATCGTGGATGCTATCCGACAGGAATATCCTGAGCTCCTTATTACCGATTCTGATATACACTTCATCCAGCTGCAACTTCGTGCCTTCCGTTACGGCGCCTCTACATCTACACAAGCCTTCCTCGATGTACTCAAAGATGCTAAAGCAAAGGGAAATCAGCTACTATGCAGTTGACCGTGGCCTAATGGGAAGGTTTGGAGGTTTTTCTGGACATACGATGACTGTATTGCTGACTGGAAGCGTAACCCCGAGCTCCTTATCATGGATAATACGTATAAGGTCAACCGCTTTAACATGCCGCTTCTACAGATCATTGGCACAACAGGGCTACACAAGAGCTTCAGTGTAGGCTTTGGCCTCACTGCCAAGGAAGACGAAGGCGCGTTCCAATGGATCCTCTCACAGTTGCGTGAGGCTGGTCGGCAGGCTGATATTCCGGACCCGGGCGTTGTGATTACCGACTTTGATACCGCCCTGAAGAACGCCCTTGACTCTATCTTCCCATCAACGCAACAACAAGTGTGCGTTTGGCATATGATGAAGAACGTGATCCTTCACATCAAGAAGAAGTGGGAAGGATCCCTCGATGGCACCGAGATTGGCGGAGATAGGCCAGAACAGGAGACTCGCCTCGCTGCAGCAGCCGCTCTCGACGACCCTATACAGGCAGATAATGCCATTGACGAGGACCGACCTATCGACCGTGCCACTGATTACCAGATTCAACATGCCTCACAACTGGCAGATCAGTGCGTTGAGCAACAAGATGATCGTGAAGATGACGATGGAAACCCAATACTACCCCGGCTCCAAGGCGGACTTTTGAGCACACAGCTGACGGTATCCGTGATGCCTGGGTTTCAGTCTTTAGGGCTCGCACGGCTGAGGTGCAGAGATCAGTGGGATCTACTCTGTATAGAGTTTTCGGATCAGCCAGGTAACCCTAGCCCTAACTACCCTCCTACTCTAACCTTTACTAAATAGCTCCTCTTATAGCTCTCGTTAATTACCTCCGTACAACCTACTGGCCATGGCGTGCCCAGTTTTCCACCTACGCTATCCAACAGTACCGAAATTATAACATTACGGTAACTTCCCGTGTGGAGAGCACACATCACGAGTTGAAGTCACGATTACGCAACCGCTTCATTGACCTCCATCAGCTACAAGAGCACATCAGAGGGCTCGTTACCCATCGGCAAAAGAAGCATCGCGAGAAGCTTCAATCCGAGTTTGCAAGAGCTAGAGTTGAATGGGCCAAGCAGACGATTATGAAGTCACTGCACCGAAAAATTGGCTGGCAGCCGATGAAACAGATCTTCAGGCAAGTTAGGCTAGCCGGGCTGAGCTTGCCGATAATCGAGGCATGCCTACGATTTGTACGGGTGCTTTCACGATGCAATGGGGCTGCCTGCCGGCATACAATCCGCGATTTGATCCAGGCTGACGCGGCCGCCCTTATACCATTGCATCTTATTGATAACCACTGGCGGGTTTACGGCGTGACTGTAAGTATCTTGCTCCAGCCATAAGTACTATACTAATTTACTAGCAGCCTGAACAACAGCAATATATCGATGCAGACCACGAAGCCGATCCTGACGTTGTCCAGCCTCGCCGGCGTGGAAACAGTAGACGCGAGGTATCCCCTCCACTAGAGGCATCTACGGCCGGATCCTTAGTGCTTGGGAGCAAGAGGAGCATAGAGCCAACCCAGAGCTCGTATCACGGCCACCAGAGACGCAAAGAAGAAGAGGAAGGGCACAGGCACCACTATCATGAACAAGAGGTCGAATACACTTGCTTCCGTGAGCAGCCGGGTTGACGATCTTGCCCAGCAGATCGGTGATTTCATCAAGTCACAAGCAGCAGCAACGCCGGTGCTGTTATCACAGGTGCCCTCACTTCCACAGGTGCCGCTGGTGTCACAGGGATACCAAACGACGATGCCCTCACTTCCACAGCCGGCGCCGCCGTCACAGGGATACTATGTGATGCCACCGCCTACACCAATTGTGCCTGTATACGTACAGGCGCCGGCGCCGTCACAGTGGCAAGAACCGCCTCCTCGTCACAGGCACATCACGACGGCTTCATGTGGGCACAGCCGCCGGCACAGTCCCACGAGACGGCTACGGAGCATTTCCAGCAGCTAGGGGATCAGAGGACACGGCACCATACAAAACTAGCAGGCAGGCCGGTCACAAATTCGTTCCTTACGTGCCTCGCCCTCCGCCGCGTCGGACGGATCCTTCCTCACAGTCACAGTCACAGTCACAGAGGTAGGCAAAGACCTTCCGCCATTATATGCATATTGTATATATATCGGAAGATCGATCGGGCCGGGCTTATTGATAGCTTCAATTGAATGACTCTAAGGGATGCATCTTCCGGCGTTGGTAATAATTGCAGATAGAATCCATATATGTCAGACAATAGTGTCCCACACCTCGCACGTGACAGCGGTTGATCTTTGTGGCATCAGTCAATTGATGAGAATTATCTAAAGAACAAAGGAAAGGAAAAGAATTGGATGCACACATTCGTGCAACAATATATACCCGATCATTGCGGCGAAGCCTGGCGCAGCAGTGGCAGTGATCGAGCATAAGGTTTCAGGAACTGACACGGGCGTGATATGCGACAATATATCTAGGCAGGCAGCCGCGGCAGCGGCGTTGGGAAAGCGCGCGCCAAATTTTGGTGGCGGGGTCTTCTTCCAAATGGGGCTTAGGTCGGGAGTGTATGTTTGAAAATCTGGAGTGTATGTTTGATTACTCCCCGAGGTCGCATCCCAAAGGGCCTGCGCACACGGATGCAGCCCTCCCTCTTCCGACACTACCGCCTAGCATCCTCCACCTAACCCAAACGATGCCTCGACGGCAAAGAAAAGTCGAGCGATGCAGCCTCGATCCTCCTCGGGAAGGGGGTTGGATTGGGGGCGGGTGCTGATTGTATGATAATCAACAATCCCTGCTAGCCGTTGCTGACGCCAGACAACCGGGCCCTCTCTTCCACCCAATCGAGCATGGGCATACGATACACGTTGTGCCATGACGGCAAAGGTCCCTTGGGATCGGTACTGGTGTAGCACGTGTAACGGCGGGATTGAACACAAGACACAAGACCGCGAGCAGTTTGTTTCCGGCCGCGTGATCACAGGGTTAAGGGAAAAGACGGTAGTAAAGTTGCCATGTCGCGCTGAAATCCGACATAAATGTATGACAAAAAGCTGCTCGGGCATTTCGGCTGAACTGGCGCTGTACAGTACAGTTATGCCTGTATTCTGCATGTTGCCAGCGTCACCCGACCAAGCCGCCTTGTCATTCGCCCTCTTACTTTTCTTCGAGACGTCAAACTCTTTCCTGGCGATTTTACTGATGAGCATCAAGGGACAGCATTGATAGCGAATTGATCACGATGGGCGCAGGGGGTGAAACTCCCACGATCTCGTCCCCAAGCCATTCATGACACGGCGCACAAGCTATTCGGCACATTATTAACACATATATTATATGCCACCGGAAGGAGAGCTGGCGAGCTGTGACGGAAATCCCCCCCTTCTCGGCTGATGGCACCCTCGGCTTTTGTCGAAAGGACTCAAAGTGCAGGGCCCCTCTCAGCTGGGAAGCAAGGGGCGCGCTGCTGCCGTGACTGGGCAATGGGACCTTCAGTACCAACCGTATATAGCCAATAATAGTGACATGGACAGCGTTTCGCCACATCTGTGCAACCAGGTGCTCCCCCGGCCCTTCGGCAGCTCCCTGTCCGGGGCTCAACGCACGCACAAGCAGTCATATCCACCGATCTGCTGGGACTAGGGTCAGCAAGCGGCAAAGATGGGGATCTGCAAGAAAAAATGAAGCGCGGCAGCAGCTGGGGGCTAGAGAGGGATGAGCATCCACGGTTCGCGCGCATCCGCACCGTCACAGCTTTCATGCTGGAACAAGACTTTGTTCCTCGCGCGAGGAAAAGGAACTATTGTCTCGAGTTCCAAATCCAGACTGTGGAAAAAGCAACGACAGCAAGGCGGAGATGAAGCGGCACCAGGTTACATGCATCATGCCTTGGATGTGTAATTCCTGCACAGTACGATCTGTCCAGCACCTAGAACAGACGCCTGTGGCCTCAGAGCAAGACATGCGTTGAGCTTGGTGACCCACGCTTTAGGGAGAACGCGAGTTGACCGGTCTCATGGCTTCTACGCGTGCCCCAGCCCTCTTCAATATTACATGTAGATGAAGGAACACAAATGATACACTCGGCAGAGACACGGGCAACTACCAGAATTGACAGGCAAGTAGAAACTTGGTTCCAGATTTCCAGAAAGCCTTTGTGTTTCATATGTACATACGCAGTATCCTGAATGAATGTTGCACAAAAACATGGCTTCCGCTTTACAACTTCAGCACAGCACACTTTTCCGCTCTACATGCCAGATGCTGAATTGGCCGCTGGCCAAGTATGAGCCCACTTGACTACCTTGAGCTGCTGTAAAGCTCCATCTCCTTTTCAACTGGGGCATCCACGTTCATGTTGAACTCTGATTTGGGGTCGAAGAGGAAGACGGCAGCAATGGCCGCGACGGTCACAAAGCACGCCGCAGCAATCCATACGTGCCGAAAAGCCAGTACGTACGTGTCCAGAAGAGCACCACTTGCAGCTTGAATGATTTCTGGCGAGACGCCGGGAATGGACTGTAGAGCCGTCTGGTTCCGAGCGCTCAGGGCCCCTATCAAGGGCGCAAGGTTGTCGGAACTCAGGCCCAGCGGCAGCACTGCGCCAGCGATACGCTCGGACACATGCCTCATCTCAGAGGTGAAGAGGGCGTTGTAAATGGCAATGCCGATTGTGCCGCCTAGGGACCTGACGCTGATAATGAGACCGCTGGCAATGGCAATGAGCTGGGGCGGCGTCGACAGCTGGGCCACGGTGACCAACGTGGTCAGGGTCATGCCGAGGGCGAGTCCGAGAAGCACAGGGTAACCCCAGACAGGCTTGTCCGAGGCCCGAGTTGTCGTGGCCATGCAGGCAAAGAAGGCAACGAAAATGATAAAGGCCAGGACCGTTACCCAGCGCACCCGGCGGGTGATGTCGCAATACAGGCCGGCTAACACGGCCCCAATCATCGAGCAAATGAGCATGATGCTGTAGCGAACGCCAACCAAAACAGCGTCTGTCTCGTACAAGACGCTCACCTAATTTTGCCAAACGACAGATCTCAGCCTCGATGGTGTGTCAAAGAGCGCGTGGGATGACATGGAGCAAGGGAGATGTCGACCGGTGGCATCGATAGGAAGAGGGGAGAAAACAGATGAAAGCGACAAACCTGAAAGGCAAAATATATATTGGCGGCAAAGAACGCGACGCCTTCGGCAAAGACGCAGAACAAGGCAATGGGAAAGTTGCGGTTGCGGGTGAAGAGGCCATGGTGGAACATGCCATCCTTCTTGACCAGGGTTTCGTAGCCCACGAGTATCAGGGCGAGCCCTAGGCCGACGGCAAAGGTGGCACTGACATGGGCGTCGGTCCACGGATATGGGTTCTGGGACCAAGACAAGGCGACGCAGAAGAGAACGAGGCCGGCGGCAAGGAGCAAGTAGCCAATCCAGTCGAGCCTCTTGAGCTTGTCGAGGAAACGACCACGATACTCCCTCTGGACTGCCGTCTCGGGCGGGTTGTAGCCAAAGATACAGAGCAAAACGGCGGCGACATACCAGGCCATGGTCATGAGCCAGTAGCGGCGGAAGCCGTCCGAGGCGGGATCGTTGGTGCGGTTGAAAGCGCCGCCCAAAAGGAGGCCCCAGATGCTGCCGAGGCCGTTGGAGACCATGTCGGCAGCCTGGCCCCAAGCGCGCCACCGCCGGGGTAGCACCTCGGACGTGACGGTGTGGAGGAGGGGCTGAACGCCGAAAGAGATGCCGATGACGCAGAAGCCGGCTATGGCCTGGGCGACGGTCGACGCTCGGGCGACGAGAATGGAGCCTATGGCGCCGGTGGTGGTCAACGTCACAAGGAACCACTTGCGGCCCCAGTAGTCGGCGGCCTGGGAGACAATGGGGCCCAATACAACGGTGAGGATTGTAACGGGCGCCGAAAACCAAAGAACCTTGTCGGGGCTGTTGAAGTGGGCGGCAATGGTTTGCCCTTGCTAAAGGAGCGTCAGCTTCCTCTTGTTTGTTCACGAGGGCACACTTACAGCGCCGGCGCCGACCAGGTTGACGAGCTGGGCAAGGTAGATGAGGCAGACGGCGCCAACAGCCATGAACGTCTTTGCGTGCAACCGGGGCCGAGGCTTGTCGATGCTCTCGTCGGCGTCCGAGTGCGACGCCTCGCCGAGGACCGTGGGCGCCTTGATCTCGACTGGCAACTGGCTGCCACTGAAACTGGCTGCGGTGCTCGCCATGGCAGGCGAAACCTCCCCAGGCGGCCTGATGTTATGTCGTGACGACGACGATTGGAGAGGAGAAGCCCGTGTCGTTGATTGGGAGATGTAAGACGTCTGGGGTCGACGAGTGCAAGGAAGAGGAAGAAGGCAGATGAAACTGCGGGTGAGGAAGAAGGAAGGTGGTTAGTGGTAGCGTGGTTGCCCTAATAAATCATTGTTGAATTTGATGGCTTGGATTGACTTGGAAGGCACGGCTCAGCTCACACACTCGATCGGCAGGTGCAGGATCGAAGAATTATCGAGTTCGTCAAGCCACTCTTTTGTACGGAGAATAGAATGAAGGGAAGTTTCATCTACATAAATCGTCCTCGGGCCCGGCCGGACACTCGCACTCTGTCGCCGAGAGCACCTTAAGCAGCGGGCGCGCCGCCCAACGACTGGCCTGCCTCGGGGATGCGCATCCCCCTCGAGCAAGGCACTCCGCACTGCAAGAACGTAACCACCTACAGTGATGGATCAACAAGGTGATTGGTCTTGCATCCCTGTCGGCACGTGCACGGGTGTGCGGGACGCGGCTGGATGAGACGGAGCTTTGGCATAAGATCTTGCGATTCGAGCCTCAAGGGGAGGAAAAAAATACGCCCCCTTACCCCCTCCCCACACCAAAATCTCCACTGCAAAAGGTGTATTGAGGGGGGGCATGGTTTTCTTCGCACTGCATAAGCCTCTACGATTAAGGCGTGGCATCGCCAGCAACCGGCTGTGTGCAGGGCGCAGGGACATGCAGGAGTACTCAGACATTGGATGGCCCGTGTACCTACTTGGGCTCAGTTCCTTTGACAACCTCTTCGTCAACCGTTTCAATCGTTGCTAGGCGGGAGAGTTAACGCATGGAGGCTTGGCTGAGCTCCAACGCAGTCTAGGAAGCCAGAATGGAGTCTAGGTCCAGTCGGGGGAAACAAAAACAAGACTGACGGAGAGACATTTGGCTCGTAGTTAAGCATGTTCAATTCGATGCTCGAGCCCGAGAGAGGATCAACCTGGCCTTCATACTCCGTACCTGATATCAAATTATCGAACTACTCAAAACACTGCATTGCCACATCGGGCAGGTTTGATCCAACGATCCACAGGTTATACAATGACCCCGCCAGGCAATATGTCTTGGCCCCTGCCCAGGCGAGTTTTCTCTGCTTGCTTCGTTGGCATTCACTAATTCAGGGTCAGACTTTGGCAAATTTCCCATGCGGGAACTGTCACGAGACTATAACCGTGCAGCACACCGTGGAAAGGGGGAACGAGCGATGAAAAGGGAAGCGGAAGCATCATCCTAAAACTTGTCGCCACTCGGGGTTGACTCGAGATCCGTCAGTGTCAAAAGGAAAGAAAAGCGTCCACGGCGAAAAACAAGCAATGGCTGGTCCGATCAGTCACAATCCCGGATTCGAGAGGCATAAAAAGGGGCACACACGCCTTTACTGTACAGTACGGATACTTCGTATGAAGTACGGTGAATTACACCATCACCAAGCAAACCGAGGCTCTAAAAAAGCCTCGCTTTAGGAACACGTGGATCCCCAAGCGCCGGCCTTCTGGCGCCTGGCCCTTTCGTTGTACGTAGTTATCTTGTACCAACGGCGATTCCTGCAGGGCCGAGCCGGCTGGGGTCCTTCTCCACCGCTCTGTGCCGCCCTGCCCTGCTCGTGGGCGCTTGCAACCTAGGAAGGCAATCAATCCAGCTCAAGTTCTCGATTTCGCTTGTTCTCTTTGTTATTGCCCTCTGTCTTTGCCAATGTCGTGTTGAGCACATATACCCGTTCACAAGCACATACGGCTAAGGACGGAGGAAAGTAAACTGCCGATTGCTCGTCATCCTCCGCGCACAGCCGGATAGACTCATATGTGCCGTAAGAAGCCGAGCCTCCTTGCCAGTCAGACTCTACGTTGATGATATCCGCTCCTTACGAACGCATCACCCATGTGCGCCGCCATGCTTAATGTCATCGTCGTCGGCGCCGGAATCGCCGGCCTTTCTGCCGCCATCTCTCTCCGCAGAGCGGGCCACAGTGTTCACGTGTATGAACGGTCTTCCTTCAACAACGAAATCGGGGCGGCCATTAATATTCCTCCAAACGCCACCCGCTTCCTGACGGCGTGGGGACTCGACCCATCGCGGTGGCGCTTTGTTCCGGCGCGCCGCATCACCTTCATCGACCCAGTCACCCTCAAAGCTACGGTTAACATGCCGGCTGACACAATGGCCATGACGGTCGGCGGCGCGGCTCTCTACTATGCTCACCGAGTCGATCTTCACAACGCACTCAAATGGTTGGCTGTGCGGGAAGACGGGCCCGGCTCGCCAGTTACGATCCATCTGGGGTCCCAGGTGGTTGGCTATGTACGTAGGAGCTCCTCATCTTCGCCATGCAGCGGCAACACCGGGATTGTATGTATCCAAGGCGGCGGCGGAACTACGCTTACCTGAAAGCGCCTCGCATCTGATTCCAGGATCCGTCCCAGCCATCCATCTTCCTTGAAGGAGGCAAAGAAGTTTGCGGCGACATCGTTGTCGGTGCAGACGGTGTCCATTCGTGTGCTGCCGAGACCGTCATGGGCCACGAGAACCAGCCTGTAGCGCCAGTACACTCCAATTACTGCTATCGCTTCCTCATTCCCGCTGCTACGCTCGACGAGGATCCAGGAACACGGTTTTGGAACGAGCAACGAGACGGCTGGACTCGCTTATTTGTACACAATGACACCAAACGGAGGATGGTCGTCTATCCATGCCGAGAGTACGCATCCCTGAAAGCTCAACCCCATTTCCCCTGCTTCCTGTCAATGACAGGATGCTCACGCTCCGGCAGCAACACCATCCATAACTTCGTCGGGTTATTCTTTGACGAAGACATGGAGTCGGACACTCGAGAGGGTGAGTCATTTCTTCCCCCGTCGCACGGCCAATCTTCTCAGCTTTCCACATCGCATTTGCTGGGGTCAAACTCACATATGCTCACCATCGGCTCGCATACACATGTAGATTGGCAGGAGGGCGTCGACATCTCTGAAGTTCTCGCAAGGTTCTCCGACTTTAACCCCAGGCTTCTCAAAGTCATGAGGTCAGTGAGACGAGGCCCAAGTCTGGGAGACTTTGACAGAGGAAACACTGACACGGGTACAGCAAGGCAACCCACGCGAAGCAATGGCCACTGCTCTACCGCCATCCCCTGTCCACTTGGCGCAAGGGCCGCTTGGTCCTGGCCGGTGACTCGGCCCATCCTATGCTTCCTCGTACGTCGAACCCCGAGCGTTCTCCTGCGCGTTTACACCATCCGATTGGCAGAACTGGGACTATTTGCTCATCAGATCTCGAGTAGACCAGGCACAGGGCGGAGCCCAGGGCCTCAAAGATGGACTCGCGCTGGGCGTCACGCTTCACGGCGCGTCCAGCCCGGAGGAGATTGAAAAGCGGCTCGAAATCTACGAGCGCGTGCGACGCCACAGAGCGAGCGTCGTCCAAATTTTGAGCAACGTTGGGCAAGACCAGATCGAGCTTCTCGGCGACGAACTGCGCCAGTACCTGAGGGGGGACGAAATACCTAGTCAGTCCGCCCCAGCATGAAACCTGCCCATGAGCCTTGACATAAGTAACCACGTCGGCGAAACAGCAAATCCAGCGGATATCTACAAGTACAACTTTGGCTTCGACGTCGTCAGGGCCGCACTCGCTGCGATGGAGGAGTATGACCCAAAGTTTCGACTACCCCCGGACTTTTTTGAGAGTGAGGTGCCCGGCATTCCGACTTAGTGCCGGCGTCTATAGAGGTGGCGAGCAGGACGAGATGTAATGATGTCGATTCTGGAAGTCCTATCCTAAACTCACCCACTATGTGCATTTACGAACAGCTTTCGTCTGGAGCTATAAACACTGGAACGGCACGGCTCGTAGACGATGTATGGAAGACGGATAAGACAAGCGCAGCCGCACTCGTCTATGAAGTTGAGCCCTGATCCGTGTCGAGACAACTGGAGGCAACATGGGTAGCTGCATGCGGGCAGTGAGCGAATAGGTATCAGGAAGAGGAAAGGGGGGGAGGGAGGAAGAGGGCATTTGAGTAAGTCTTCTGGGAAGAGTGGAGGAACGTTGCACATTTTATATATAAGGAGAGAATAAAAGAGACTGCTGTCAAATCGAATTTTCGTCTTCTCGGGTGAATGGCGAGGCTGGGGGTTGAGAGGGATAGGGGGGCGGGACAGGTAGGGACCTCAACAAAGGGGCTACTGTGAGAACTGTCTGCTCTCGACGGGTAGGCGGCTTTGTCTTGCCAAAATACGGCCAACGAGTAGAGCTAGAGTTCTGGTTCCAATCCCGGGAGGCGAGATTAGCTACATCGTACATCGGCTGCATTTTCCGCTAATCGTGAAACAGGCGCGACTCCACGACGAAAAACCGGGAATATTGGGAATAACATTCGCGTCGACCATTCTTAACCTGTCCACCCCTCGAACGCGGAAGCTGAAGTCCAAGACAGCCGTTGGGTTCTCATCGGACCCAGTGCGACGCGTGTAAGGAGCGTCGTGACCACACGCTTCCATTTCCATGATGTCGAGTGTGACGCTAGACGACTTTGTGCTCCTCCCAGGCTAGTTGTCGTGGAATCTGGCGACACAGGTGTTATTTACCTCGCGAGTAGCAGTCTGAGTCCTAATTGACACCCTGCAACATTGCCTGCGTGTCCCTGGCTGCCTCTCCATCGGAATTTGTGCCGGATTCAGCGTTTCAAAGTTGATGATGCGCGTGCGGCGGAGGCATCGACGGCCTCTCTGGCAACGACTCCAGTGCGGTGAAAGCATCCGGTCTTGCTTGCAAATGCTCCACTTGGAGGGTGTCAATAGCAGAGGCTTGGCTAATGACGCAGGGGCAGGATGGCTAAGTTTTGTGACTGACAGTGAAGTAGCCCGGTCCATCGACCCGGGAAACCCCACGCAGGAAAGGTGCAGATGCGATGTTCTGCCAACATGTATTATGCTGGAATTCTGTACATGACCAGATCCGGCAGATGGCCGGGAATTCCTTCCTTACTGGTGTAGCTCGTTGACGTCCTGCTGGGTGGGGAGCTCGCTGACGACACGGAAACTGCCGTCCTGCTGTGTGCAGGGCTCGGGAGACGACAGTCCGGGAGCGGACCCCGTAACCCAAGTTCCCGTGGACATTTGCGGGCTGGCCATGCTCGGCGCCCCGGCCTTGCTGCCACCACCGCTGCACGAAAACTGCGTCATTCCTGACTGGCGCCTCTCCTCCTGACGGTGGGCAACCATCTTACCGATGAGGAACCAAAGAAACAGCACGAGCACTAAACCCGCGGCCCCGCCAATGGCGATGCCAACGATGGCGCCGGTGGAGAGCGCCGGTCCCGGAGGCGGCGTTGACGAGTTGGTCGGGCCGGGGACGTGGCGGGTCGGAGAACGTGGCGGGATCGATGGTCTCCGCTCCAGCAGGTCCTGGAGGGGCTTGTTGCCCGAGTCAAATCCGGCCTTGGGTCCCACGCGCGTCGCGCCACCGTACTTATTCCCACCAACGACGTTATAGACGTCAATAGGGACGACGTTGCTGGTGACGTTGGGGTCGGGCACTGCCCAGTATGTCTGGTCATCGCCGGCGTTCTGGTTCGTCCCCGTCCAAAAGCTATGTTGCGCCCATGCCGTGACCCCGAGGTCGCATTTATCAGTGTCCGTGTAGGTGCCACCGATGACGAAGAGTTGCGACATCGACTTAACCATGTTGCAGGAAGAACTATAGTGGCCATCAGGCAGCGTGACGTTTCCATGGTGATCAGGGTAGGCCTTCACCCAGATGAATGAGGGGAGGGTCAAGATGTATATGTCGTTGAATGAGGTTGCGTTAACAGCCGGGGGCGGCACACTCAGGCCCCCCCAGAGGTAGCTTTTTTGTTAGTTAATACTGAGACTTGTGTGATTGAGAAGTCATTAGCACTTACATGTTGAAGCTTGATCTATCGGGGGCCCAGGCCACGTCAATACAAAATTGGCGTCTATTTTGTGGGATCTCTCCAGTTGCCGTCTGAATCGACCATGAGTTGCCCGCGGCATCAAACACAAAGACCTTGTCAAGTGGTTGGGGAGCTGCCGTGCCATTACCATATGGACTGACAATACCCCCCATGTATACAAGCAGTCCATAGGTATCGCCCGCCGGGATCCATACCATTGCACCTTCGGCTCTCGGGTTTTTGTCCGGACCAGCTGCCTGGGCGAATGTGTCTGTATCGTAGGCATACGTGTAGAATCTCGAGCTCATTGTTCGCTGTTGAGTCCATCCACTCATGGAGGCATTGCTTATCCACCCTCCATAGTAATAACCCATTCCGGTTTCCGATACACCGACTCCGGCTCCATAGGAGGCAATCTCTGGCGGGGGTGCAATTCTAGGCGGTCCGAAGTCATCCCACTTGTCGTAAAGAATATCATAGCTTAACAAGTGGTAGGGCTCTTGTGCAAACCCGACAGTCCACTCGCCGCCATAGAGGTAGAATCTCTTGTTAACAGCATCACCCCATAGAACCCCACCAGATACTGTTGGAATGCTGCAAATGTCGGCGTTAGTATATCCTTCCAATTGATGAACCTGGAGTATAGGCTACATGATAGGTATCTATAGAATAGATCCGGCTTCTGTAAATGCAGTAATTCACACCCCGAGAGTTGACTTGCCTGTCGTTCTTGTTTAAGGTGATGTTCAGATCGGGCCAATAATCACCGCCTCTCTTTATAAGGCTATTGAGATCGTGATATCCTAACCAGGTATCTTCATTGCCGGGTTAGCCAAGGTTTTTATCATTCCATTCCGATATGATTTTTCGTTAAAACTATTGCCACCTCTATCGGGTTAAAAGTTGACTTACTGGAATAATTTACGTGATCGTCTTGAAAGTCGTCGAAATTCACCCAGCCACCATCGATATATAGCTTGTCATCGATGACTGTCGTCTGCTGTGCGAATCTCCGACAGAGGTTATCTCTGGGATTTTTGGCAGAAACCCAATGGACGACGAACGCCAGCAGGGTCAACAAACGTTGCTTTCGGCGGCCCAGCCATGAGTGCGGACGGGTCGGGCTCGGCATCGACCCGACAGGACCTACTGCCAGAGAGTCCATCACTAACTCTCGTTGAAGCTATGAAGGAGAAATTGCGTGCGGACTCAGTTGAGAGGAGCAGCACAGGCACAATATTGGGCAAGTGGCGGAGCCCAAGCTTATTTGGACTCACACTTTTGTCTCGACTTTCCCTTAGCGCCGCACTACACCGCCGCCACCCAATTTTGGTTCGCGCGTCCGGCACACGTCGGGACAGCGCCTTTATTTACTTCGTACAACGGAGTACGCCGTAATTACAGGGCACCCAATTAACAGAGTATTAATCTCACCTTACTTCGTAGCTATTGGTATCTATATAGGTCCTTTATCGAAGTACTTATTCGGAGTACAAGGCGAAGACTCTTTTGTGCCGTGCCCTTGCATTAAAATGGTGTTGGGGGCGGCTGGGGCGGCGTAGTGCGGCGCCAAATACTTGTGATTTCTTGGGCCTTTCAAGGGTTATGGCTTGGTACAGTGGCTTACAGGGGGCTTACAGGGAGCCTGCCCCGCTAGCCCCGCCAGCCGCCGCCATGGCACATGGAGCCTGTCAATACAAAATACAATGTAGCAAGGCCCACTACGGCTGATGTTCGACTGGAAGCAGGTGGCAAAGCCATGTATAACGACAGCGGGCTCTAGACACTGGACAAAAACAAGAAATGATGTCCTATCTTGACTTCCTAGGATATGCTCGAGAACGACCGCCTTGACGACAAGATTGCCGTCGAGAGTGTAGTGCAGCCCTTTTTCGGGAAATGTGACGAGGATGGGATACTTGCCTTTGTCCCAAATTTGAGACCAGCAGCCTTCGTGCTCGTTATAAATTCAGGTTACACGCTGCAAAGCACTCTCAATGCCACCCACGCACAGCATTTAGAGGAAGCCAAGGCGGCTGAGAAGTAAACTCTTCGTCATCAAAGAGAAGCAATATCCCAATTTCAACCCTGTCACTGCGGGTGTTATTTTCAGCGCGACGTAGTTCTCGTGCCCGCCCCCGCTTAGGACCATGCCGGCCAGGTCGTCACAGGCTGCATCTAGGCTGCTACCCGTCGTGCCACGCCCGCGAGGTGTCTGCACTGATGTGGGTCAAGCCAACAGGGAGTTTGATTCGTGGACAGAGGTGTCAGAACTTCGGGTAATGAAGTACTGATCCTATCGAGCGGTCGGGGTAAAATTGATAGAAGACAGTCACGTATGAGCAGTGTGAAACGTATGTGATTACAAGAGTGATGATTGTACTTGTATTCCTTGTCCTTAGGTGACTCCTAGCTGGGCTGCGCCAGTTCAGCTGGGCTGTGCCACTACAGCTGGGCTGCGCTTTTTATAGCCGGCTTTCTGACAAGAGGGGAGTCGGCCAGTGCGCCGTAACAGAAGCACCAACTGGCTCGTCTGCCCCGTTGTCGTGCGGCAGTTGTCGGGGAGCGGGTCGGGTCAGTGGCAGCATGGACAACAGGGGTTATTAGTCCGATTCTAGGTCAGAATTCGTTGTTTTTACTGCCAAGCTGAGTGGCTTGGCCCCAAGTGTGGCTTAAGCCATTAGGTACCTACCTACATACGGAGTAGACCGGACTGTATATTGTTAGGCGGTTGGGTTAGTACATCTTAGTGCTTTTATTGGTATCTTGGAAACACCCACGTTAGCCGAAAGCGGTTACAGACAGTGCGAGTTCTAAGTAAAGTCAGGCGGAGAACGGGAACTAGTGAGTAACTACTACTTTCGAGCATCATGGTAGACGGGCATTCATGTCCTCACTCCTATAGCCATATTAAAGCACCCATTCTTCACCCAAAGCCATCCTTGGCCCTAGGTGCACACGTGATTCCAAAGCTCGTCGTCGGCAGGCAAGATGCGATTCCAAAAGCCCCTTTCCTCCACGCTGCTCGGGCTGACTGCCGTCGTCGACATCAGCTTGGCTGTCAAAGTCAACCCCCTGCCCGCGCCTCGGGAGATTTCTTGGGGCACCACCGGTCCAAAATGCGTCGAGCATCTCAGCTACCGCGCAAAATCCAACCACCGGCCCGGTGACAATTCCAAGGTTGTCGCCGACGCATGGAAGCGCGCCTACGAGGCTATCGCCACCTTGCGATGGGTGCCCCAGGCCATCGAGTCCCCAATCAGCAAGTATAAGCCGTTCCCAACTTCGGGCAGCAGCAACAATTTCCAGCGGGACGCAAAAACCGCCGGCCACAGCAGTTGCTTGACGACAGTCAACGTCCAGGTCTCAGACTGGTCCGCCGATCTGCAGCATGGTGTTGACGAGAGCTACACGCTCACCATCTCCCCCTCGTCCTCGACCGTCGAGATCACGGCCAAGACAGCTTGGGGTGCCATCCATGCCTTTACGACCCTACAACAAATTGTCATTTCCGACGGCTGCGGTAAACTAATCGTCGAGCAGCCCGTCACCGTCGAGGACTACCCCATATACCCCTACCGAGGTGTTTTGATCGATACTGCGCGTAACTTCATCTCCGTCGACAAGATCAAGGAGCAGATTGACGGTCTCGGTCTATCCAAGATGAACATCTTGCACTGGCATATCACCGATTCCCAATCTTGGCCAATCCAGGTCCTAGCCTACCCTCAGCTCACCAGGGATGCTTACTCTCCTCGGGAAATCTACTCTCCCCAGGATGTGCAAACCATTTTAGACTACGCCCGTGCTCGGGCCGTTCGCGTCATCCCAGAGATTGACATGCCCGGCCACTCTGCCTCGGGCTGGCAGCAAATCAACAAAGATATCGTGACGTGCCAGGACAGTTGGTGGTCCAACGACGACTGGCCTCTACATACTGCTGTCGAGCCTAACCCTGGCCAGCTAGACATTCTCAACCCAAAGACCTACGACGCCGTCAGTACGGTATACGCTGAGCTTTCGGCCCGTTTCTCGGACAACTTCTTCCACGTTGGTGGTGACGAGCTCCAGACCAGGTGCTTTAATTACAGCAGGCTCATCCGGGACTGGTTTGCCCAGGACCCTTCGCGTACTTACTTTGATCTGAACCAGTTCTGGCTTGACCACTCGTTGCCTATCTTCACCTCGGATAAGATCACCGGCAAAACGGACCGCCGCCTTATTATGTGGGAGGACGTTGTCCTCTCTGCTGATGCCCACGCTACCAACGTCCCCAAGAACATCATTATGCAGTCGTGGAACAATGGTCTTCACAACATCAAGAAGCTTACCAGCTCCGGATTTGACGTCATCATCTCAAGTGCGGACTTCATGTACCTTGACTGCGGCTACGGCGGCTGGGTAACCAACGACCCCCGCTACGACATGCAGGAGAACCCGGACCCGACGGGTGCGACGACGTCCTTCAACTACGGCGGCAACGGCGGCTCGTGGTGCGCGCCGTACAAGACTTGGCAGCGCATCTACGACTATGATTTCACACTCAACCTTACCAGGAACGAGGCCAAGCATGTTATTGGCGCCACCGCCCCGCTGTGGTCGGAGCAGGTTGATGATACCATTATCAGTGGCAAGATGTGGCCTAGGGCTGCGGCTCTCGCCGAGCTGACCTGGTCGGGCAACAGGGACCCGGAGACGGGCAAGAAGAGAACCACCACCTTCACCCAGAGAATTCTCAATTTCAGGGAGTACCTGGTTGCCAACGGCATCGGCGCGACTGCCCTAGTGCCCAAGTACTGCCTGCAGCACCCGCATGCTTGCGACTTGCACTATAATCAGAGCGCAGTGCAATGAGCGTTGAGTCGAGGGCATGTGCATCCATGGGCGACGGCAAGGATTCAAACCGCCCAATTCAATCCACTGAAGGCTTCTCTCGAACAGGGGTTAGAGAACGTATATGGAAGTGATCAGGGGCAATATGATTAATATAATAAAGATGTATGCCCTCCTCTAGCTATATAAGATCTAATAGGGTATTTATATATAAATTGTCACGACACAACAAGGGTCACAGTGGGCCATAGACCAATGTGTAGGAATGGAGGTTGGGCCCACGCTGACACGCACCCACAGGGCGCTCCCCCCTTATCCCTAGAAGTGGCGTTGATGCCCTCGCCGCATCCGGAGACACTCAATGCGGTAGTCAACCTATAGGATGCTAAGAAAGTTACTCGATAGATCCGGGTAATCGTAAGCAGCTAGATTAGTAGGGAAACCTATTCCCCCCCGCACTTTATATATATATATATAGTTATACCTATAGACTCTATCTTTTAAAAAGGGTAGTATAATTTATACCCTTTTTTCGTAATTGTTACGAAGCCTAGCCTAATTCGTATTCTCGGAGATATCCCTTAGTAAGAGGGACCTAGGAAGCTAAAAAAAACACCGGTATAGAAGAAGGAGAAAGGAGCTAAAAAGAGGTATAGAAAGGAGGGTAGGGGTAAGAAGGGAAGCAGAAGTAGCGATAGCTTCCTATAAAGGTGGCGAGAGATAAGACGGATATGCCGTTAACGGCTAGAATAGAGGGGAAAAACCGGTAAAAAGCTTAGTAGTTAAGAGGATATTAGTAGCTTCTTTAAGTAGGATCTTCTTTATTAATTAAGATACTAAACGGGTATAAAGAGGGGCGTTAGATAGAGGAAAGAAGGATAATTAAAGTAATATAATAATTACTCCCCTACTATAATTACTACCCCTGAAAGAATTAAATATCTTTGCCCTGCCTATCTAATCCCTTACTTTTAATTTTACCTTTATATTTTTTATATACGTTTTATACCTCTCTATATAAGAGATATAAGCCTAGGAGGAATAGAATTCCTATACCTTTTAGCTGCTATAAAAAGCACCTTTCTTATATTTCTTATAGCTTCTTTTTACCCCTCTTACTAAAAAAGCTAATTTTTAACTAACTTTTCTACCTTCTCTTATAATAATATCGAAAAACGATTCCTTTACTACCCCTACGGTCTATAGGACGATTCTTATAGAGCCCTAAGATTAAGATAAGTAGGTAAAGGAGCTACGAGCTTAAGTAGATAAGACTATCTATAATTTAGTCTTCTCTAATAAGTAGGACCCTCTTAAGCCTCCTCTTTATCCTAGGGTAACGGAATTTATAGAGGGAGCTACCCTCTTTTCTAAGCTAACCTCTATATAGTAAAGAGCTTTTTCTACTACCTTAGGTAACTATAAGAGTTACTATAAGGAATACCTCTATAAGACGAAGCTACTAACTACTATACGTATAGCTATAATAGAATCCGTTAGTACTATAAAGCTAATCTCTCTTTAAGAGGAAGAGACTCTTAGGTAGTAGCTTTTAAAGCTCGAGACCTTAATAGCTCCCTTAAAGGGCTATATAACTAACTATATTAAGAAGACTTATATAGCCTACCTAGGAGCCGTTTCTATTAGGAACCTACTAGCCTCTTTATAGCTAGCTAAGTAAAAAGAAATCCTCGAGGAAGCTAACTAATACTTCTTAATAGAAGCTCTTTCTAGCTAATAGCTATAGGATATATCTATACTAATAAAGCCTATTAGTAACGGTTACTTAGCTATCTTTTAAGAAGCTAGCTAGGAACTAAATAAAGAGGCTACTAGAGTATAATAATAAGTAGTCTTATTTCTTTATAGCTAGTATTCGACTTAGACGGTACGACCTACTGCCCTTATAGCTATTATAGCCCCTCCTACTACGGCCCTGCTACTACTACTACTGCTGCTACTCCTTTAGCTCTACTACCCTTAAGAGCCTTAACGCTATCTTTAACTACTACTGCCCTAGCCCCGGCTACGCTTACTACTCCGGGCCCGGCCCTATTAGTCTACTTAGCCCGGCTAGTCCCCTAATAGACCTATTAGTCCGTTAGCCGAAAAATCAGGGAACTAATCGAGATCGAACCTCTTCGTTAAAATTAGTAATAAGGGGTAAAAATGGGTTTTTTTTAAGTAGACCTTCTAGACTAAGACGAGGATTCCTTAAAGAAATAAAAAACTAAAAGACGAAACAGCTACCTAGCCTATAAATCCCTAGGCTATAGGTTATTATAGTACTAGTAGGTCTCCTAGGAAAACTAACCTAAACGATTTAACCCTTTAAAGAGGCTATAAATAACGATTTAATTATCTCTTAAAAAGGACCTTTTATTATAGAAAAACATAGATAAGATCTAGGTTACTAGGAAATAGTAACTTATACTACTATATTTATTTAACCTATAAATTTAAGGAAAAATTTATTAGTATAGCGAATCTAGCCTTTATCTTTCCTATAGATTAGCTAGGCTAAAACTAACCGTTAGAGCCGTCCGACTATCCCTTATAAAAATTAACTATCTTTAATTTTAGTACTTCCCTTAATATCTATAATACCTTCTTATAATTCTAGTCCTTTAAAAAGGTATAAAAGGAATACCTTATTACTAGGGAATTAACTATATAGATAAAGGGATATAAAAGGGTGAATTTTATAATAAAATTACTTAATAGGTTTATATAAATTCTTTAACGAAAAAGGGTAGCTTTTTACCCTAAATTTTTAACGAGCTTAATTTCCTTTTATTTTCTTTAAAAGGAAGAAATCTTTTAGGATATAACCTTAACGCCTATAAGGCTAGTCTAGAAGAATTAAACAATTAAGCTTATTAAGGAAAAATTTAGTTAATTTATTTTTAAATTCTAACCTATCTTTAAAAAAGAACCTCTTAAGAAGTTAGCTTTCCCTACTAAGAGGGTAGGTTCTAAGAACCCTCTTTTAGTAGCTTAAGGAGACGGTCTTCTTTAATATATATAATTTAGTTACCCCGGCCCCTTAGCTTTATCTAAGCTAGGCTAATAGTAGGGCGTATAAATAAGGGGCCCTAAGACTATTAAATATAAATACTATAGCTAAGGGAAGACTAAGAGACGAATTTTTAGACGAATACCTTTATAGCTAGACTAGCTATATAAGGAAATTTAGGTCGACTAAACTAACGTTTTTAAGGACTAAGAAAGCTTAATCTAGGTAATGTTTTTTTATAGATAACTTTTTAAGGATAGTTTTCCCTTATTTCTTATAGACCTACCTAAGTAAGTATAACTAGTCTATATACTAGGACTTTATTAACTAAATAAAATCCTACTTTAGCTTTAAGGTAAAAAAGGTATAGTTTAATAGAGAGCTATTTATAAAGGATATCTTAAATTAGCTTTAAAAAAGGGGTATTTTACCCTTTCTATTAGTACTAAATACCTAGGCCTAGAACGATAAGGTAGAAAGATTAAGGGGTACTATAATAAAAAGGGCTTATATAATAAGACTTACTATAAAGCTTCCCTATAACCTTTAAAGGGAAATCGTTAAGACCGCTTATTACCTTTAAAACTAGACCCCTAGAAACCTTAGGGACCTTAAGGACCTTATAAGGACTATATAAATATAAGCTAATTATATTATTATATCTTCTTAGCTAACTTTTTAAAACTAAGCTTAAAATATAAAAAAGGTATATACCTAGAACCGTTATAAATAGTATATTACGCCCCCTTAAGTATAGCCTTATATAGCTATTAATAGGTATATAATATACTATTAAAGATTATAAATTAAGTAAGGTTCTCCTTTATATAAGTAAAAAACTCTTCCTTACCCTTACTAACTAAGGGTATATTATCGCGAAGACTATTACGCTATATAGGTAAAAGTAAAACGCGCGCTTTAATAGGTAAGCTATAATTAATATATATAACTAATAACTACGTTTTCCGATATACCCTTTTAAGGATCGCGGCTCTACTAAGATTCCTAGACCTAAGCCTATAATATAGGAGTTAAATACTAAGTACCGCGCTTATTACCTAGGGAAATCTAAGAGAGAGAGGGGTATATAGCTATTTATAGGTATTACCCTATAATAAGTAGTTACCGGAAGTTATAGGGGGTAGTTTACTACCCCCTCCTAGGCTTATAACTATCGTAAAGACTATTACGCTATATAAGTAAAAGTAAAACACACGCTTTAATAAGTATACTATAATTAATATATATAACTAATAACCGTGTTTTCTAATATATATACCCCTTACTAATAAGACCTAGCTTAGACCTAACTTAGGACCCTAGCCTAGACCTAAGGAGGGCCCCTTTAACCTTAACCCCCTTAACTTAAAGGTTAAAATAAGTACCTTAAAGGCTAAAGCTTATTTAAAAGAAGCTCTAAAAAGCTAATACCTTTTAAGGACCTTAGAAGAAAGGCCTAAGACCTATTATAAAGTAGGTAGAAGTATATATATAGGTACTATCTATAAGATAATATTAATAAGCTATATAAAGCTCTCTTATATATAGCTAGCCTATATATATATATATAGGATCTAGCCCTCTATATATAACTATATAGCTTAGGCCGTAGCCTAAGCCTATAACCTATAATAGTTAAAGACTCTTATATAATACCCTCCCTTAAGCGCGGCGTAGCGCTACTTAATTAATAGCTTCTATACTATTAAGCCTATACTACTAGCTCTACCCTACCCTTTCCTATTAATTATACTAGCCCTACTAGCTCTATTATCCCTACGCTTATTAGCTTAGGTAGCTAGAACCGGGCTCTATACTTATTAGCTAGCTAGCTATTTAAATAAGGGCGTAACCTATTATATATACCCTTAGGTAGCTAGCGTCCGGCCTAAACCTATATAAGCCTTAGGTTACCTATCCCCTCGGCCTTAAGTAGCGTCTTTTACCTAGGGGTATATAAGGCGGTATCCCCCTCTTTCTTCTTCCTTTCCTTTTCTTCCTTCTT